TCTCTGGTCGATCACATAGTTTAAAACACCTCCAAACCCACAACTGCTACCCATGCTTTCTATGCCTATTTTATCTCAGGGATCCTTCAATTTTTCCTTGAATTCCCCTATAGCTTCCAAACATTTATGGGGGTTAAACCTATAATCAAGTGTCTTTTATACAGTGGTTTTCTTTTTTTTTTTTTTTTTTTTTTTTTTTTGTCTTTTTCCTTTTTATCGGTACCGGGGATCGAACTCACGACTGCCTGCTTTCAAGGCAGGCGCTTATGCCGCTGAGCTAAACCCCCAGCCCCTATACAGTGGTTTTCTTAACCTTACCCACCCTACAATACTCCCATTCTCCTGATATTTAAGCTTAATGGGTCCTATCAGCTAGTACAGGGCCTTGGGGTAATCAATGATGCTGTTACCCCAATTCACCCAATGGCGCCAAACCCTTGTACTATGTTCTCTCATATCCCTCCCTCCACCACTCACTTCATAGTCCTAGATCTTAAAGATGCCTTTTTTACATCCCCCTACACCCTGATTGTCAGGATTCCTTTGTGTTTATGTAGACTGACCAGATACACTCAGGTCTCAACAACTAACAGCTGTCATCTCTATATTAGACCCTCTCCTCAGAGACACGTGCCACCCTCTTCCTTTCCTATTCATCAATTTCGCAGACACACCCCTGCTCAGGACTGGCAGATAGATTTTACACACATGCCCACCACAAAACTCTCAAATATCTTCTCACTTTTGCTTGTACTTTTTCAGGAAACATAAAAGCCTTTCCCACAACCAGGGAGACTGCTGATATAGTTACTAAAAAATCATTCCAAGGTTTGGTCTACCTCAGAGTAGCCAGTCAGATAATGGTCCAGTCTTTATTTCTTAGATCTCTCAACAGGACTACAACCAGTGGCCCCTAGCTGGTCTTCCTCAGAACTTCAACGATCAAAGTTGCTGTACTGCCATCACTCAAGGTAGGCAGTGCCCTCCTAACCCTAACTCCCTTGACTCTAAAAATCTGAGTGGTCATCTCATCTCCTATCTCCTGTCTCCATCTCACCAAGGCCTCACAGCCCCGATTTTCAGGCTGGGTCATGTTTTGCTATTCTATTTGGTTCCTGATCTCTTACATTCTATTAGTTAATTTTTTCAGTGTAACTATCTCAGTTCTCTCCATCCTCAGCTATTTAAACATGAGACTCCTGTAGGTGTAAGATCTCATGTCACTTACAGTGACATGGCCACGGCCCTCCCCATCCCTATTCTATAATTTCCCAAACATGATTCAACTGTCAGGCCTTGTATTTCTCATGCTTCTTATTCTTTCCAGCTCAACTCCTGGGGCAAGGAGAAGTCCGACCTACACTTTTAACTTTTACTTTTTCAGATGGGGGAATAATTACCTCTCATAACTCTACCCTCTTAACTCCATGCTTATTTTTCAGATTCTACCTCACCATAGCGCTGATAGAATGATACATTTGGATCAAGGATACCTTTCCTTCTTCCTCTCCAGAGTCCTTTAATTATGATAGTGATCTGCCTCCTCATAACATCTTGTGTTTTTTATTTCTCCAATCTAGGATGCAAGCATTCACCAATGATTAATTCCTTGTCCTGGCTGAAATACCTGGCACCAGCTTCTACGTGGGCATCAACTGTCATCCTGTCAACCCCATAGACCCCAACATGACACCCCTGTCCAGCAGGCAGTAGTAAGAAACAGTCTTTGCCCTTTTCCTAGCAATACAAAGACGGGAATGAAAAGTTCTTGCCCTGGTATAAATTACTGTACAGTTATGGCGGTGGTCTAACATGGCAGAAGGCCACAGTGGGAATGCCTACCACTTCCTGCTTCTTCTTCAGCCCTAACTGCAACTCCCTTTCCTGTTTGCATGCACAGAGAATTCCAATCGGTTCCACATACATCATCAATATCCGCCCCATGTGCCACTTTTGATCAGAGGTCACATAACCCTCTGCTTCTCTGTATCTGGTCTAAGGAGACCACACAACCGCCATGGATTGTGTGCTCCTTTCCATGTCCTCAATCAATAAACATATTCATTTTACTCTTTTCATTTACATTTACATTTCATTTACATTTTCAAAATACTCTAACATCAGTAAGAAACAGATTTGAAAATGCTGATGTTATGCTTTATATTTAGATGTCCCCCCAAAGCCTCATGTGCTCTTAGGTGTGGCTGGGGGGTGACTGGATCATGAATGAGACAATCATCACTGGATTCCCCCACTGATGGTTTATAGCACGGTGTGATGTCAGGAGGTTAGTGGCCTGGGTGTATGTATATCCCTTTTCTCCTTTGATGCCTGCTGCTTTCTGGCTGCTCTGCCATGAGCTCTTTCTCCTCTGTGATGCCCCTCTGCCATGTTGCCTGTCTTGCAGCCAGCTGACTATGGACTGAAACCTCTACAAACTGAGCCAAAATAAACGTCTTCTCCTTTAACTTGGCATTTTGTCTCAGCAATGGAAAGTACCTCAGACCCTCTGTCTTTAAGATGAAGGAAAAAAGAGAAAGAAAAAAAAAAAGATGAAGGAAGAAGCTAAACTGGAACAGCAAAACTGGAACATTCAGTGGTAGAGCACTTGTCATGCCTGAAACCCAGAGTTGCATTCCCAGTGCTAGAGGTGATGAGGAAAAAGAGGTCACAAGCCAAGGGCCACAGATGATCTCTACAAGCTGGAAAAGTCAAAGAAGTAGACCCTCCCATGTTGCATCCCAGAGAAACACATCCTTGTAAACACCTTGATTTTAGCTCCAGTCTCTATTGGATTATAGACCCCCAGAACTATAAGAGAAATTGTGATTTGTTCTGTTTTTTGTTGCTAGGCATTAAAGCCAGGACCTTGCATGTGCTAAAAATTTATTATCGGGGCTGGGGATTTAGCTCAGCGGCATAAGAGCCTGCCTTGCAAGCAGGCAGTCATGATCCCTGGTACCAATAAAAAGGAAAAAGACAAAAAAAAATTTATTGTCCAACTGAGCTACACCTTTTGTGTTGTTTTAAGCCATGAAAATTTTCATAACTCATTACAATAGCTATAGGAAACAAATACTCCTACTCCCACTGATACAAACTCAGTGCTGTTTTCTAAAAAAACCCACTTACCCCCTTGACCAATGACAGAGCCTCAACAGGCCTTCTCAGCCAATGGCAGCTCTTGTGGCCTCCTTTGGGCCAATGATGTTGCCTCCAATACCCTTTCTCCCTCCTCTATGCATGTCCATTGCAGAGAAGGGGACTGAGACCAAAGCGGGTGGGGATAATAGGGAGCTCCATTTCTGGCCAGCATTTCAATGGGCCTCCTCTCACCCACCTACCCAGTTTATTTGTGCTTAGAAACCAGGAAGATTGGGATCTAGCACTAGGAATAAACCTTTCATAAAAGCAAAAAAAAAAAAAAAAAGCCTACTTAGAACACAGTGTGTAGCATGTGTGGTAATCCCAGCACTTGGCAGCTGAGACAGGAAGATTGCTGCAAGTTTGAAGCCAGTCTGGGCAACACCATGAGTCCAAGGTGAGCCTCAACTACTAATGAGACCTTGTCTCAAAAAAACAAAACAAGACAAAATGAAACAAACAAACAAAAAAAAAATCAAAAGACAAGGGGCTAGGGATTTAGCTCAGTGGTGTAAGCCCCTCCTCTCAAGTACAAGGTCTTGAATTCGATCCCTGGTACCGGAAAAAAAAAAAATCGAAAGATAGTATGTCCCTCCAGCTCCCAAATTGTCCTTTCACAGTTGTATCTGTGGACACTTTTGTATTTCAGGAATTGGGTGCAGTGGTGCACACCTGTATTCCCAGCACACTGGGAGGCTAGAGAAGGAAAATGGCAGCAAGTTCAAGCTCAGCCTGGGCAACTTAGTGGCTTAGTGGTGACCTTCTGCCTTTGCAACCTGGTGAGAGGGGTTTGCTGGGTGTGCCAAGTTTTCCCTGGACTTCTGGGTACAGACTGTGAACCCCTCCTCCGTACACTGTGGGGAGATGGCAGCACAGTTCGGGGTGGGAGGGCCACAACTCCCAGGGCGGGCTTGGGGGAGATCCCAAGGCCCACAGCAAAACTGGAACAACTGATAACCTCCCAGTAGTGCAACGGACTGCATCTGTCTAACATTATCTTGCAGATTCTTTGTCCCCAGCCAACAATCTACCCACTGTCCCTGGTTCCTTCTGTCCCTCCTTTCTTCTCCCCTTGCATCTGGAGGACAGGTGGCCACAAGCTGCCTTTTGAGGCTTAGTCATTTCCTGTACCTTAGTCTCTCCCATTCAGTCAGGGTGAGGTCACATCAGGCAATGCCACTTCCCCCAGAGCGGGCAAGGATCTATGTGTTTTTGATGCATAGGAGCAAAAGTCTCAAAGGAGGGAAAAAATGAAAACTCATTAAGGGTCACAAAGGCAGAAAAGGATTCTGAGGATTGTAAGTATGTGGGTCAACTTGGCAAGAAGCCTTACTGGTTCTAGTGGGATTAGGTGAGATTTCTGTTTGTTTCTCTTTAGTTAGGCACATTGACTGAGGACAGGACCCTACTATAGGGCCAAAGAGGACTTTTCTCCCCAATACTAGGGTTGGAACTTGGGACCTCACACAGGCCAGGCATGTGTTCTACCAGTGAGCCACAACCCTAGAAGAAGATCTTAAGAATCAACTTGCCTGAGGTGTAGTTTAGTGGTAGTGTGCTTACTTAGCATTTGCGATTTCTTTTAGTCTACTCTCAGTAATGTACACACACACACACATGCATGCACACACAGTGTGGTCAGTGCTCGTTTTAGAGACCAAAACTCTTGAGAAACAAGTCACTCAAGGTCACACAGTGTTTTGGATGCAGCATTAGGACTAACCCAGATCTTCTAAATACTCACTAGACCCTTTCACTGGCCCAAGGGTCTGGGTCTCCAGAGAATGGCAGCAGGAGAAACCAAAGTCTGTTTATGCACCAGTAAGAAGTGGGAAGCTAGGAGCAAGTAGCCTACATTTCTCATTTTCATTTAAAAAGTTTATTTTATTCAAATTGGAAAATGAATACAAATCTCTGGGTATTTTGGCGGGGGCGGGAATGTTAAGGGTTGGGCACGGAGGAGGAGAAGACAGTTGAGGTAAGGTTATGAGCATCACAGTGGCTGCCTCGGGGACCCTGCCTGGAAGGAGAGGGTGGCATTGGGTTGAGCAGGGTGCTCAGGGCCGGAGAAACACCATGGTGAGGAGGCCTGGAGGTGGAGAAAGAAACGGCAAGTCAGCCAGAGAATCCCTCTTGGCCCCTGCTCCCTTTTCTCTGGATGTGGGTCTGGATCCCCATGCCATTACTGCTCTCACCTAAGACATAAGCTGCCACCAACTTTTGTCCCAGGGAAACATGCAGGACCTGAGGCAGCTGGCTGCCGGATTCGTCCTGAAGTGGAAGCAGCAAGAAGGCCACAGAGATGATGCCAGTCAGCAAAAAGAGGACGAAGGAGCTGGTGGCCAGCTGCTGATGGGGACCTGGAAACAAGGGTCCTTAACAGCGGTATTCTCTCCTGTCCAGCTAGGAAGCTGACATGGAAGATGTCTCTACATTTTATCATCCACCAGAGGCCCCACTGTGAGTGCTCTCTCTTCCCTGGAGCTTTGGTCCCCAGAGCCACAAGAAACTCTCCTTCCTCTGGTCCCTCTCCTCATTCTGTAGTCATTGCCATCTTCTGTGCACTCATGTAGCAGGTCTCTCCTGTACCCACCACAACGCACAAGCCAGGACAGCATACTTGCTCAGCCTATGTCTGTCTGCCTGTCTCTCTCGTCTTTCCTCCCTTCCCCTCTTCTCCTCTCCTCTCTGCTTGCTGGGGTAGAGGATGGCATGGGATTGAAAGCAGGGCCTTCCCACTGAGCTGCATCTCCAGCCTTTTAAAATCTGAGACAGGATCTCATTAAGTTGACCAGGCTTGGCTCAAACTTGTGATTCTCCTGCCTCAGGCTCCCAGAGTACACATATGTGCCATCACACCTAGCTGTCAGTATAGGCTTCTTATTGAACTGAACTGAGCTGACACTTGATACAAAGCCCTACAGTTAGAGTTAAATGAGTAGAATCCAAAAATCAGGGAAATGGCAAAGACTTTTCTTTACCAAATCCAAATTTCGACTAGGAATGTTTCCACCAAAAGGCAAAAAGGTGAGCCAGAAGACTTTTTTAAACCCACTTTAGCTCATCTCTAGAGTAATTCTAGTTCTTCCCTCCATACAGAACTCCAGAATCCACACTACCCTACTTACTCTCCTGGAAGTGTCTGGCCGAGGGTGGTGTTGTCCAAGCAGGAGGCCCTGGCTGGGGTGTTGGCTCGGGCTGTCCCTGAAGCTCAAGGGGGTACGCTGGGGCCCGCAGAACTGAGGTGATGTCCTTGCGCCCCACCACTCGGCCCTCGGCCCCCTCCTCTGACAGCTCAATGCGGAAGCGGTCCTGGACATCATAATGACTGGGAATGGGGGCCACGTGGCGAATCACACTGGGTCCAAGATAAGACACAGGATCATTGGAAGGAAGTGAGGTCACTCTCCCTAGAAGATCTCCCTCCCAGAAGGGTTCCCTAACAGATATTGACACGGTGGGGAAAGCACCTTAAAGACGACAAGGCCTCAAACCCAAGGTAACGACCCCCAGCTTGCTTCAGCTTCTCTACCTTCCAACTCACATGTCAATACAGGACTGGGGTTTTACATATCCTTCAGCGTCAAACACCGTGTATTTGGCAGGTGCTGTGCACAGAACTGTGGATAAAGAGATCCACAAAAGAGATCTTAGACAAGTCTTCCCCACGGTAGAACACTAGAATTTCCTGTCTCCAATCCCAGCCAATCCAAGGGCTAGACATGATTCTTGTGGTCGCCAAGATTTGGCATCTGGCCCTACTCATTTGAACCTCCAGCCCACACAGCCCCCAGTGTTCTGCAGCCAGTCCCAGATCCCCAGCAAGCACCCATTCCTTCACCTCGGAAGCGAAGCGCAGTTCCTGTGGGGTTATAGAGGGTCAGCAGCTGCCGGGGTCCACTCCTTTGGTCCGCCCTGAATACCAGATCCGGGGGAAAGACGAGGACCGGGACTACAGGTCCCGAGGGAGGAGGGGCGCCCCGGGACCCCCGCCCAGGGGCCCCCGGACCCACCAGCTCCAAGTCCTGGGGCGCCCCACGGCGCATGCAGGCTCTGGGCGGTCGGACATCCGAGGAGAGAGCTCAGGGAACAAGGCTTGGAGTCTAGAGCTGAGGGGTAGAGGTGAAAGCGGACAAGATGAGATCGTGTAGGGCTCGAACTGGTGACGCTGCGGCCTCAAAACCCTGGTAGAAGCAGCTTGTTTAGTTCTAGGACCCCAAACCTTCCCACTTTCCAACTCGGCCCAGATCCCTGCAAACCCCGCCCCCAAGCTTCACCTCGACAGCCACGCCCATCTCGTTAAGCCCTGCCCCTAGTGGTTCCCAATCCGGGGTTTCTCAACCCCGAATAGAGATCTGTATAAGTGCCTCCCTCCTCAAGGCTCCGCCTTTTCCGGGACTTCCGGTGTCTCCTCCCCATCTTTCCGGCCAGAGTCCGCCCTCTGTAGTGGCCTCCTCTGGAGCAGCCTTTCACGTCGCCTGCTCTGCTATCCCTCCCTGTCCTCCTCCCGTGCCTGGTCAGACTCGGGCCGCTCGTGCTGTGGAGACCACCTTGTGGTCAAAGTACCTGCCAGTCAACCTGTGGCCAGACTAATTGTGCCATCTTCCCGAGTCCCTTTCTGCGCTTCCGCCGTACGGCCTCTCTCATTGGCCAGAGTGCGCTTCTCTCCGCCTAAATTTACTCTGATTGGTCGCTTAAAGACTAGCACCGATGATTGGCTTGATCTCAATGACGTAAGAAGTTTATGGGCGTCTCAGTCTCAAATTCAAACCGCGAAGTAACTGGGAGAAATGGCACTGGGCTGCGAGGTGGGCTTTGTTACTTTCTCCCTACTCTTAGATTGTCCAAATCACTAGATCCCAATTCTGGGCTCAGATCCTATTCCTTTCCTTCCTGGACGTGCCTATAGAGTCACATATACCTGGGGATTTAAAGACTCACCTAACCCTGCTGTTTACATCGTCTCATTGAATCTTTATCTCCTTTTACTGACGGGGAAACAGCCTCAAAAAAGTGAAGAATCTCACTGTAGACCACACAATTACTGGCCAGTGTAGCAAAAACTAAGTCGATCTAATGAGAAAAACGTTTCCCTGAGCATCTTATTTATATAGAATCTCCTTTGTCCTCTTAATCATGCTTTTGCTTTCCCTGTAGTATTTATAATTCTAGTTGACATTGTATTTTCTCTTCTGAAATTGAATATTCTTTCTACAAAAATATTTTTGTTTTGTGGTGGTGGTGTTTCTGTGGTTCCTGAGATTTTATAGTAAAACTTAATAAATGAATGAATGAATGAAATCCCCAGGATGGGACCCTAACTCATAGAAATGGAAATAACACCTTTCCTCAGATAAGAAACATTTATTTGGATGAGAACGGGGACCCAAGCACACAGGGCTGGACTCAGTCTCAAGCCTGGGACTCCACAGCCCGTACAGGTTGGGAGAGGCATTTCCTGTTACTTAGGTTGGTGAGAACCTGGTCCTGGTTGGGCCGGTAGACAACTACAAAGCTGTCTGGAGGAAGGGTGGGACCTCTTTTCTCATCCATTTGGCCCATCATCAGATAACTGATTCCTGGGGGAAGGGAGGAGAGAAAGAGAGTGAGTTGAGACCTTGCCAAAACATTGAGGGAAGGGGCCTTGGAAATGAACCCAGGGACTTCACACTGAGGCACATACACACACACACACACACACACACACACACACACACACACACACACCAGCCCTATTTTTTATTTTGAGATAGGGTCTCCCTACATCACATTTCCCAGGTTGGAGTTCAATTTGCAATCCTGCAGGGAGTACTGAGGTTATAGGTGTGCACCACTATACCAATGCGTTATATCTCTATTATTTTAGTGTTGTTAAGTGCCCCCTCCTGATTTCTTTTGTCTGTTACCTTTTTTCATGGGTGGGTACTGCTTGCAAGGCACGTAAAATTTCAAGGAGGTGCCAGTGGGTGGAGAGGGTAGGTCCAGTCCTCCATTTTTGTAAACACCAATGAGATTGACAGTGACAGTGAGGGCATCGCCTGGGCCCCGAACCATAGACTTCACTGTCGCTGTCACCACTGTGGGAGAATGGGGGTGAGAGATGAGGAGATAGGAAACCAGGGCAGAGCCAGCACCAGGAAGGTGCCAAGGTAAAGAAGCTGGAAGAAGAGGGCATGGGGAGGGGTTTCTTACCCAGATCACTAGCGCAGAAGTTGCTCTGCAAGGTGCCTGTTCTCCGGTACTGCTTTGGGCAGGTGATAGTGGGGGCATCTAGGAGGGAGGGGGGCTGTTTGTGAAGGGTACCTCCCCAGCAGATAGGAAGGCCCACTTTCTCCATAACTACTTCAGAGTGTTAACCCCAGCTTTGGTTCCCAGAAACCAGTACCAGCCATCGGAGGAACGATCCTCCAGCAAGTGTAGCATGAATGAACGGGTAATTAAATGGATGCCTCAAGAAAACTGTAGGAAACAATTCCCTTCGGTCTGAGCTTCCTTCTTTCCCCCTTCCCAGACTCACTGGGGCTCACTGGAATTCCCTGGGCCTCAGGCAAAGCTTCTGATTTTTCCACAGGTTGGACTTTGGGCTTGGTGGGTGGCTTGACTTTGGGTCCAGCTTCAGGCTTAGAGCTGGGGCTGAGAGTAGGGGGACCAGGATGGACGCCCCCTTCTGGACTCGAGGCTGGCCTTTTGTCAGCAGAGTCCCGCGGCAGCATCTTGTAGGAGGCTGAGAAGCCATCTGCGGTGACGCTGAGATCCGAGACGAACTGGACCAGAAGTTCGTTGCCTTCTGAGGAGATAGGGCTGTAGGCATCGTGGGAGGTGTTAGGGCGGCCGCACACCCCTCACCCCCGCCTTCCCAGTGCCCATGGCCATTTGACCTCTTGGTCGCCTGGCTTCTCCACCTCAGAGCCCCACTTGCCTCGCCTCTAGCTTCCAGTTCTGCAGACCCCAAGACCTTGGCCTCTGCTCGCCCCTACTCGCTCTGCCCAACTGTTGGGAGTCTCAGGGTTCAGTTTCTACCCCCACCTTCACCCCGCCCCTCAGTCCCCTGGGTGAAGCCCAGATTCTCCCAGCAGCCCACCGCGTCCCGCCCCTCACCCGGGGGCGGTGTCACCGCAGAATTTCCCCAGCCTCTTGGAGTCGTCGCTCAGGGCTCCGTTGAACACGCTGACCGAGTCGTACCGGCAGTAGGTGTCCGGCTCCAGGTCGAACTTCCCGAAGGTCAGCAAGATCACCTGGCGGTGGCCGAGGCGAAAGCTGCTCGGCTGGACCTGAGCCCTGCACCTCTCGCCTCCCTGACTTCCCACACCTGGTGCCCTCACTGGGGCATTCACACCCCAAATCCTGGCTCACTCTCAAGGGACAAACCCTGATTCCACCCTGTGGCGCCGCACAGTTTCGGGGCACCATGTCCTCGCTCTGCTAAGACCGCACAGTTGTGATTTCAGTTTTAGTCTGCGTGCAAGCAGGCTCTGAGTCTTATTTTTGGTCCACACAAGCTCTGGGCTCTGGACACAGAGGATGCTCAATAAATCCTTGCTGGCTAGGTGCAAGAGGGGGTGGCTCGGGGTCCCCACGGGCAGTCGGGGCACAGGGTCGGTACCTGGTTTGGGGGCGCGATGATATGCCAGTTACAGTTGATGCCCGGGGGGTAGTCGGACTCCGGCCAGTTGGGTGTGGTGAGGGATCCCTGCGCCTTCTCCAGCCGCCCCCCACAAAACTGGTGCTCTGGGGAGGGGAGACAGGGGAGGGGGAGGGGCGGTGGAGACCCTCAGTAAGCTGGAGGAGAGTTCTGGCTCAGAGCCGGGTCAGCAGTTCGGATGTTTGGGTCTCAGAACGAGGGGACGAGGCGTGGGCAGAAGAGCGGGGGAGGTTAGCAGAGAGGGGGCCGAGAGGAGAGGATGGGACTCAGAGCTGCAGCTGGGCGCGGTGAAAGGGAAGGAGAACTGGCTGGATGCGCCCGTTTTGCCCCTCCCGACCCAAGCCTCTTCCCCTAGGAGATCCCATCTCCCCAGCCTGGCAGAAGAGTTCCCTCTGTGAGGGTGCCCTTGATTTGGGCCCTTCCGGGTGGTCCCCGGCTGAAACATTTCCAGGGAGATTTCTGCCACCAGGAGAAGGTGATGGGACCGCAATCGGGAACCCAGGGCTGGGTGCCGGGGGCGCCACGTAAGGGAACCTAGTCCCCCAGCCCTGGGGTGCCCCCTCGCGCCCGTCGGAGGGAGCCCGATTGCGGACGGGGGCGGGCAGTTACTCACCGTCCCAGTAACCCCAGGCCGCCCATTCCACCCGCGGGTCCATGACCCATTTCCGCCTCGCGCCTGGGGGGGGGCCTGGAAGAGGGGGTGGGTGGGAGCAGGAGGGGGAGAGAAGACGGGGAGGAGGGACTGAAGGGGCAGTTAGTGAGGAGAAAGGGTGAGGGAGTATTGGTTGCCCTAGGCTCTTGGGATTGGGTCCTCTCAGGGGTTGAGGTTAGGGCTGGGGTCTGGGGCCTGAGCAGGGTCGGGACAAGGACAGGGGAAAATGGAGGTAGAGGAGGCTCACCATTGCCTAAGGTGGCCCGCCCGCTGTACCAGAGCAGGAAACCTCTTCCTCCTGTTCCCTCATCTGCTGTCATCTTCAGTGTCACCTGATTACCAGGGGCAACCAGGGGCGCTGGCCGGAAGGTCCCACAGAAACGTCCAAGCCGCTTGCCCGAGGTTCCAGACCCAGCAAAGACCTCCAGAGCATCATAACGACAGGCAGGGTGCAGCTCCAGGTCGAAGACTCGGAAGGAGAGGGACACAGTTTGGCCCTCAGGGACCTGACATCAGGGACATTAGGCATGAGACCCACAGTGCCAGGCTGCACAAAACCTGGGCAGAGGTCTTCTAACCCTCCCTGAGTGTTTCCTAGAGTAGTGGCTGGGCCTGGAAAGGACCCTATGCATAGCTGCAGAGCAGAGGCTCTGGGCTCTGCAGCTGTGGTCTCTGGAGAGATAAAAGAAGACAGGAAGGAAGTTGGGGGTGGGGTGGGGTGGAGAATTAGGATTTGAGTTATGGGTAAACTGTGGGGCACTCGTTATGTTGGAGATTGGTCCCCTCAGTGATCAGAGGGGATAGGGCTTAGAAGATGGTATGGGGTAGGGGGACCCATTAGCATCCGTTTTTTTTGTTTTGTTTTGTTTTGTTTTTTTTGCCTGGAATACTTTGATAAGAGGACAGTGACCAGAGGGGTCTTCTCACCGTTATGGTCCAGATGCACTCCTTATTGGGGGGGTAGAGGTTGGGGAAACCCTCACTTGCCACGTAACCTGACTCCCCCGTCACATCCCCTCCACACAGGAACACAGGTCTGGAGAACAGAAGGGGTTGGTCAGCAGTGGGGAGCAGTGGAGGGACATGGATGGGGTAATGAGAACAGGAAGCCAGGGCAATGAGGGAAAAGGCCAAAGGGATCCAGGAGAGCCTTGGCCAGCTGGGCCAGGATGGGAGCAGGGTGAAGAAAAAGTGAGCCTCTCCAACCCCCAGAGGCCCCACCCCCACCCAAGAGGAATTCCCAGAATCCTCCTGGGGAGCCTCCTCTTGCTCACTCTCCTCCCTCATACTGCCTGGCAGTCTGGAAAAGGAGCTGCTTAACTACTTCCAGATGTGGTCGAGCCACGAGGCCAGGCGGTGGGGGGAAGGGGAGGGCCAGGGATGAGGGGAGCAGCATAGAATTGGCCCTCCCATTGGGCCCAGAGACCAGGCTCATGCACCCCCACCTTTGCCCTGCTTCTGTTCCAACTCCCAAGGCTCCTCTAGTCTCCCCCACCCCATCTCTCTTTCCTTTCTGGAAGCCAGATGTCAGCTACCAGGCAAGTTCAGGATCTTGGCTCTCCTTTGAGGCTCCATGGGGGGCCACAGGTTTGGGTGGAGGGGGAGACTCAAGAGGGCAGAGGGTGAAGGTTGAAAGAGAGAGCAGTGGTGACCTGCAGATCAGGGTCTCACAGCAGAGGGGAGCCCTTGGGTGCCAGAGAAGACAGGGTGGGAAACCTGCAGGGGTGGGTGAATCCGAGGCCCCACAGGCACATCCCCCGGGGCCAGGGTTTAAAAGCTCACTGGGGTCACCTGAAATGCCGAGACCTACATACCTGGTATAGTTGGGGGTCTGGCCCTGGGCAAGAGGCAGTAGGGCCCAGGCTGTGAGGAGGGGCACCAGGAGGGAGGCTGGGACAGCGGGCAGCATGTCGAGGGGGACTGTGCTGGGGTCCTCAGCCCAGAGGCAGCAGTTAAGTTCAGCAGCAGTAGAGGCAGCAGCGGCGGCAGCAGCGGCAGCAGTGGCGGCAGGATAATCAGGGCCAGATGAGACAGCCCAGGGCGTGTGGGCGTGGGGACTGGCCTGTGGGGCGGGCAGCAGGAAGGCGGGACAGGGAGACAGCTGTGACCGTAGTGAGGCCAGGGGCCTCTCTAGGTCTAGGGCTCACAATATTGACCGAAGGATGGGGTGGGGGGGAGAACATTGACCAGAACCCGGACCCCACTTTGTCCCACATGCCTGAGCACCCTGTGCGCAGAGCTCTGCCCTTTTCTGGGGACCCAGCTCTCTCCAGCCCCTGCTTCCTCAGCACTCAGAAGATGCCCTTCCTGAGAGCCTCTCCCATGTATGTCTTGGCCACCCTCTCCCCAGCTGCACATTTCTACTGTCTCCCCTCTTATACCTGGGGGATAATTTTTTTTCCACTATTGGGGATTGAACCGAGGGCCTTCATGCTGAGCTATATCCCCAGTACTTTTAACATTTTTTATTTTGAGCCAAGGTCTCACTGAGCTGGTCAGAAAGACCAGCTGAGGTCTGGGAGTGGGAAGGGGAAGGGAGGCTGGAGGACTCAGGTGCCAACAGCTCTCAGCAGCAGAAACTTTGATCGTTCCTGCTCTGCCTCACCCACCATGCCAGGTACCAGGCACCCCATCCCCTGCCCTGTGTACCCCCAGGCTCCAGGGTTCCAAACTAGGCCTTATTTCAACCTTTTATTCTGTTTACCCATCAAATCTCTTGTCCATGATATCTGGTTGGAGGCTCCACCTGGCAGCCCCTGAATATTTTATAAAAACTTCATTCTTTGCCTTACCCTACCAGGTCTGGCTGTAATCCCCATCCCCCTGTAATCCGTCCCTGTGTGTCCACTACCACCACTCCTCACTGATCCCGACTCAGGGCCACTGTCCCATCAGGGAGGTGGCCAGGAGAGGGGTCAGCTGTTAGGGGTCGAGGGGCCTGGACCAATCCCCCCCAGCAGCCCTCTGCAGCATGTTCAGGGCCTGCCAGAAGAAATCCTTCTGTGCGGCCACCAAGGGCATGTTGCCCACGATCTCTTTCATCTTTTCCACGCGGTCCTGCAATGTGGGGCAACTGTGGATCTGGCTGAGATATTCCTCGCAGGCCCAGTCTGTCCTCCCAGGGTCGTGGGCAGCTCCAGCCCCCAGGTTGGGCTCCAGGCTGTCCACTGCCCAGGTGGCTGGCAGGTCCCGGTAGAGGGAGCAGTGCTCAATGTCGTGGCTGGACAGCATGTAGAGGCACTCTCTAGTGGAGCAGAGGGAGCAGGCACACAGAGGGACCTTGGAGGAGAGAAGGGGTGTGCGCTAGCACTGCAGGGGCTCCCGGGAAGCTGACTAATCTGGCCAGTGTGTTTCTGCTCTCAGAGCATCCCGGAGCCAGCAAGTGAGCTGCTGCTGGCCCCACACAGGGCCTGTGTAGGGTCACACAAGGCCAGCAGTATCTGCTAAGGGACAGAGCTGCCTGTGTGCCTGCACGTGGCAGGAAAGGGAAGTGGAGTGGGCCAGGGAAATGGGCTTGCCGGGTCCTTGCAGGAGATCGTCCTGTGGGCTCCCTGGCTCTACTGCTCTGCTCCTCCCGGGGGTCCCACTTGCCTGCCCCTGCTCTGACCTTGACCTGCAGCTTGACGAAGGAGGCGCTCCCCTTAGGCCAGCCAGGGAGACGGCCACCGGCCCCACAGCCACAGCCCAGCAGCTGCTTGTTGAAGTCTGAGTCCTGGCTCAGCACCAGGGAATGGTTGAGGCCGCACCACAGGGCAATGGGGCGTTGTAGATAAGGTACCTGAGGACACAGGGCCAGGGTCCTTGAGAGGGCAACACCAAGGGGCTGGGGGCCCATGGGAGAAGGCTGACTGGAAGGCTCATGGAAGAATGTCATCTAGGGAGGGAAGAAACAGGAGTCTCCCCCTTCCCTCCCCTACCAAATGCAGAGCAGCACCAGTCTCCATACCCTGCAGCCCCTAGTGGTTGGACATATGGCGTCTTGGTGGGTAATTTATCTTGGTCCCCAGAAAATAAGCTCTTGCCTGAGACCAAGGCCTGCTCTGTTCCCTTGTTCTTAGCCCATACTCTACACCATCAGTCTCCAACCTCACCGGACACTGAGCCTTCCTCTTCCCAGGGGCTGAGGTCTCCTCTCCTTCCCTGCACAGTTCCACATTACCCCATCCCTCAAGGAAAGACTGCCTTTCATTCTCTCTAGCATTTTCAGTGTGTACGGGTGTTACCTTCCAAAGTGACCGCCTTACTTTGAAAAAAAAAAAATCTGTTTCTCGTTGCTTCCTGTTTCTGTCTCTGTCTTTCTCTCTAGTCCAGGATGGCCTATAACTCATAGTGATCCTCAGGCTCAAGTGCAGGGATTACAGGTGTGCACCACCATGTTCAACTCCTACCTCTCTCTTTAAAGTAGCACAGTTGGCTCCCTGAGCAGACTGAGGCTGACCATATTCTTGTTCCTTACTAGTCTTTCCTTAACCTCCTTGTCATCTGGCTTTTCTTCCTGCCATGCCACACTTTGCTCTCCAAAGGTACTTAGTTTTTCAGCTGCTAAAACCCAGGATGTCTTCTGTGTATGCTCATTCTCCTGAGTCTGTTAACATTTTAATTTCAAAAACACAGGTAAGTAATCTATGGTCGCTAAGAGGAAATTACAAAATACTGACAAGTAAAAATTTAAAAATCAGCTGGAAATACCACCATGAATAATTAACATCTTGCTGGGTATTCTTCATTGTTGCCTAGACAAACATATATAGATTATATATATATTTTAGTACCGGGGATCAAACTCACAACTTCGCGCTTGCAAGACAGGAGCTTATGCCACTGAGCTAAATCTCCAGCCCCTAGGTTGTATATTTTTAAGCAAAACTGAGATTGTAAAGCTGGGCATTGTGGCACAGGCCTGTGATGCTGGCACTTGGGAGGCTGAGGCAGGAGGATCACTACAAAGGTCAGCCTTAGCTACATAGTGAGTTCAGGGCCAGCCTGAACTACACAGCAAAACCCTGTCTCAAAAACAGACAATCAAAAATGAGATTGTACTATGCAACCCATTTCATAAAAGTTTCTTTCACCTAACTATATAGCACGGTCATCTTTCCATGTCAATAAATGTGTTCCTGTGTTGTCAGAGTGTCACCAGTAGCCCCCTCCCACACGCCCTGTTGAAACTTTCTGCTCTTTGGCTTCTGGAATGTAGCAATGGAGGGCGATCCTCCTGTCCCAGAGATGTCGCTTCTTTATCCCTGCCTCCAGTGATGGCTGCTGTCGGGATTCGCTCTCCTCTCTGCTTTTGTCATGTCAGCCTTGTTCCAATTCAAAATGCCAGCTAGACAGTGTTTCACTTTCACCAATTTAGTGTTTCACTTTCCCCGCAACAAGCCCAAATTCACACATTCTTTTTCCTGAAACCAGCAATCAGTTTGGAGGACCTGTTTATTTTCTAAAACATCTCCTCTACCTGTTTCTTTTCATTCCTGCTGCCACGTACTAGCCCTGGTCTTAAGTGCTGCTGTACCTCACTAGGCTCCTGTGTGCCATGGCCAGCTGACCTTTCTGGTCACTCCTTGGTTCCTGCCTTCTCAGATCCCCTGGCCACGCCCTCATTCAATTCCAACTGTGGTTTATAGAGTGAACCACACGGAACAGACCTTCTAGTGCCAGCCCTATGTAAGACCATCAATATAATGAGCATTTCCTGCACTGGCTTTGCCTTCCTGGGGAGGAGCAAGTGGGTTCTTACAGAAAAGTATCCAGATACAGGAGTGAGGGAACTGGAGAAAGAGGGTTCAGATGCGAGTTGCTGGGAAACCACCTTACATGTGTGGGTTCCCCACGGTCCATTTTGTCCCCTGTTCCTAGCTGCCCATATCTGTTATTCCCCTGCATGAAGATTCGGCCAAATTCATCCACCAAGCCAAAGTGATTGTAGCCAAGAGCACAGAATAGGACCTATGAGGTAAGAGAGAGGGCAGGTGGGCACTGAGTTCCCACCGCAGGAACCCTGCTATCCAGAATCTCCCATCTGCTAAGCCTCTACCTTCCAGCTCATCCTTTTGACCTTGTCTTTCCCCAGGCCCCATCTCCCTCCCTGGTTAATTATGGGTCCCTGCTCCTATTTTAAACCATTAGTCCCTAAAGTCCCCATCCCTCCGGGATCATACCTTGGCAGGCAGGGAGAGAGCAAGCGGCATCTGCTGGTCCAGGGGGTCAAAGGCTTGAAGGGTCCCAAAGAGGTCACGATATACCCCTGGGGTATGCACCTCAAAATACACTCCTCCCTGGTCTGGGGGGTCAGGAGCCCTTAGCTCAGCAGCTTTGGCCACCCATTTCCTAGGGCAAAGACCCCACCTGGGATGAAAGCTGCAAGCCCAGGGAGTATCCACACCCACTAGAAAGGCATCAGCAGAATTCCTGGGAACCTACACCCCATTCTTCCTGAGGGTGCCCTAAGGGGCTCACACCACACAGCTGGAATAAGGGTGAGGGTGTCTACCCAAAACTGGGGGCTTGTGAAGAAGGTAGGTGGTTTGTACCTGTGATGTAGAGGGCACTGCTCTGGTTGGAAGCCATGCAGGTCACACGCAGGTGTGGCAGGCAGCAAGACACCTTCCTGAGGGCCAGCTGAACTGTATAGGAGCGTGGCTGGTCCAGCTGTGTCTCATTCACTACCAAAGAGTAGATCTTTCCTTCCTCTGGGGAATGAGGGGCGGAATACAATTATGCGGGGATGAGGACTCACCAATACTCACATTAATGTCCCAGTGAATCCCCTGAACCACACGGATGAAACGTTACTCTTCTAGAGGGTGGAAGAAAAAAGGGTAGAGATGAAATGGGAAGAGTAGTCTCGAGTGCCCCAGACCTCAGCCCCAAGAATAAGTTGGGCAACTATGTCAGCATGAGAGAGGAGTTGCAGGAAAACTGGCCAGGACACATGGCAGAATCTAGTCTGAGTGTTGGGAGGATGACCCTTGGGGGCCTGCATGGCAACACAAGTCCAGAGGTCTCAGGCTTGAAGGAATGGTACAGATGACACTGGGACAAGGCTGTGGCTTGGGGTGTTAGGTGAGATGCCTGGCCTGGTGGGTAGGGGATTAGAATTTTAAAACTCAGGCATTCAGTGGAGTAGTGATGTAGGGTCCTTTATTCTCATGAAATATGATGCCCAAGCCTAGCCAAGGAGGCAGATAAAAGGGCTGTTTGGATGGCCAAAGCAAGCTGCATGCAGGGCCTTGTGTGAAAGGCCTGTCTCCCTCTTCCCTGCAGCAGCCCTAAAGAATCTGCAGGAAAAATCTGTAAACTAGTGCTTTAGGCCACACCCACACCTGTGAGGAGCAGCAGAGCCCGCTGTGTCTCCTGCCCAAGCAACGAAATCTGTTTGAAGCTCATGGAGTGGTGGAATGTCATCTTGAAGACCCGCTGCCCGCTGGACTGCAGGTAGACCTCCACGCAGTCACAGGACCGGCCGCCAGTGGTGCCTGCCACTCCCGACTGCTCCCGAGTGGCCAAGACATAGAGGTATTTACGATAAACCGTGTCACATCTTGGGTCAGAGGCAAACTGTGGGGGAAAATGAGATGTCTAGAATCCAGGGCCTCAGAATGCGAAAAGAGTGGGAGGGAGGTAAGACCCTGGGGTTCAGGGTAAGGGGGGGTATTCTGAGAAGGTCAACTCAGTACTGGGGCCCCAATTCTCAACTGCCAGGGTCCTCTGACTCACATCCTTGGCTCCACGACACAATACGACATAGCGACATGCCCGTTTCCACTGGATCTGGCCAAGGGTGGAGGAGATCAGAGCATTTTTGAGGAAAAAGAGGGTTCCCAGGTAGTCAAGAATGAAGATGTGGTCCTTGGTGGGCAAGAAGCGGCGGTAGCCATGGGCTAGCAAGGGGGCCACACTCTTGCTGAGACATCGGCGACGGCCTCCAAATGCCTGGAAATACAGCCCCTTCGTGTCTGGAGAAGGGAAGGAGATGGAAGGTTCAGGGGTTGGGGCTGACACACAGGAGGATGAGCTTGGGCAAACTAGATTTGCCAGACATATGCTATTTATCTTTCCCTACCACTAAACCTGCAAAATACAGCCCTTTGCAAGGCCATGTGAAAGGCTTAGGTTAGACTCCAACCTGCACCTCCTCAGCCCTGGGCCACACCTGTGCTGTTAAATGAGCCCCTCTTTGGTCTAACTTTGTGTGAAAGATGAGAGGATTAGAACAACTATATAGAAAAGAGGCAGAAAAGGCACTGACCTGACCAAGAAAGACCAGTAACCTTCCCTCACCCCAGAGGTGGATCTGCTTTCTGGATCAGTCTTCTGCCCTAGTCTGTGCGTGACAGAAGCAATTGGATAGGGGCTTGCTGAAGGACTTAGACTACAGCACGGTTCTCAAGTTGGGGCTGACTTTGTCATCGGCTGTCATAACTAGGGAGGTGCTGATGGCATGTAGTGGGCAGAAGCCAGAGACTGTGCTAAACCATACAGAATGCACAAGACAGACCCCACCACAAAGAATGACTTCTCTCAGGGACACTTGGGTGGGATTTCTATCATGGGATGGCCCTGGGGTTTCAGGGAAACTTCTTCCTGGGGTCTGTTTGACTCGGACAAGTTGCCAAAGCAAAGGGCCTGTGAGGTGGACAGCAGGCTAGTTTACAGAGCAGGATTCCCAAAATAATCCAGGACAGAGGAGAGGAGAGAGGGGTGCTGGGGAAGGCATACAGTTCAGAACAGCCGCTCTCTTCCAGGGCCGGACTCCAGAACCCTGCTCCCGCAGGTGTGGACTAAGCCTGCGGCAGATGCGCCTCCACACACCCTCGGTGTCACACACTTCGTGGAAGTATCGGCAGGTCTGACCTAGGGCCACTGCATCTCTTACTGGGAGGAATGAGATGATGTGCTCCACCTGGGGGTTGGGGAGGACACTGGGTCTTTTGCAGCCCTGGAGTGGTCAGGTCCTCCAGCCTGCATTCTCCATGCTGCCCCCCACCAAGACTCACCAGCTCTGGGGGGAACAACTGAACAGAAATACAGTTCCCTCTTTCTTTCTTCTCTTTACCCCCATGCTCTGGGCCACAAGAAGGACAGCTCCGCTTCACCTATCAACAGAGAAGAGGGGTGCATGGGAGTTCTGTGAGGGTTGTACCTCTTTTCCACCTTGATCTCAACCTTTTTTTCATTTTTCTTTTTGCAGCAGGGTCTCATTATGTAGCTCAGTCTGGCATGGAACATGTGGCAAACCTCCTGCTTCAGCCTTCTAGTGCTGAGATTGTGGGCATGCACCACCATGCCCAGCCCTCTCAACCTGTCTTTCATGAACTCCTGCTGTCTTGGGGCTCATCTGACTTCTACTCTGTGCTGTCAAATCCTCCCATCTGTCGCCAGGTCCTTGGACCAACCCTCCCTGTCTGCTTTGCTCCCATCATCACCACCCCCTCACCCGGAGACCCTCCTCCCGGCCGCACAGCCCAGTCAATTTTTGCAGCTTCTGTCTCCGGCTTCTCCTCACCATCCTGACTGTCCCCCCTACCCTGCTCCTGCCCTCATCTCTCTGGGCCCTGTCCCCACTGCCTTTCCCACACCATGTCCCCTGTCTGGGCCTGGGTAACCTCTTGGGCCCCTCCCTTATGGAGTTTAAGCCAAACAAACCTCTCTGTGACCTCACTGTCCAGCCACTGTGACCTATTCTCCTGAATGTGGTCTGGGACCTGGCTGATGGGTTTTAGCTCATGCCTAGCTGGGTGGCTCATGCATGACACTGGAGAAAAAAGTGTACACTCCTAAGAGATGAGGCCTTGACTTGCAGGAGGTAGATTTTTCCTCATGAGGTCTTTTCAGCACCAATGCTGTAGAGAAAATGTGAATCTTATGCAACTCAGCCAGTCGAGTCCTCCAGGAATTTGTAGCTCAAGAGTACAAACTTGGAAAAGAAGAAATAAAAATGTAGGACAGCTTGACAGGTGGGGAGTTGAGGGGACCCTGCTCTGACTACCTGGCCGACAGAGGAACCCAGCAACTCAGCACAATTCTTTTTTTTTTTTTTTTTTTTTTTTTGTCTTTTTCCTTTTTATCAGTACCGGGGATCGAACTCACGACTGCCTGCTTGCAAGGGAGGCACTTATGCCGCTGAGCTAAATCCCCAGCCCCTCAGCACAATTCTTTACAGTCCATAAAAACACATCCCAAAGCAGCGATATCACTTAACAGGAAAGATAAGCTAGTAAGGTGGGAGGAAGGGATGGATTTGCTCTGAAAGCTTCTTAGCACACATCCTAAGAGCTAAGATGGGCTCTGAAGAGAGCAGAAGGTCTACATCTTCCAGCAATAGCTGACTGTACTAGGAGCTGAAATTCAGTCTTGGTTGACACCCAGCTGGTCCTGCACTGTAGGACAGATCTGTACATTGACTGCTCCAGCCAACAGTGTGCACACCCACTTTGATTTCTTTATTTATGCAACTGACAAACAGCTGCTTGAGAATACCTGAGAAGGAATTTTAGTATTTATTATTTGTTTTATTATTTTTTTGGGCACTGGGAATTGAACTCAGGACCTTGCACTTGCCAGGTAGGTACTTGTGTCACTGAACTGTATTTCCAACCCCTTATTTTGTTTTTTTGTTTTTTTTTTTTTTAAAATGGTCTCACCATTTGGTGCAGGTTGGCCTTGAACTCACTTATGTAGCACAGGTAGGTTACCCTCCTGTCTCAGCCTCCCAGAGTGCTGGGATGACAGGTGTGTCTCCATCTTGCTGGCTGTGACCAAGTTTTGAAAGCCAACTGTTAGGACCTTGCTGTTTGTTCCTGCTAACTCATTAACCGCCCCCTGCCTGTTTCTTTACTCATAAAACGAAGACTGTTCAGATCATGTTTTTTTGTTTTTTGTTTTTGTTTTTTTGAGACAGAGTCTTACGGCTGGGTCTCTACAGCCAGTTCAGGCTGGCTGGCCTGGAACTCATGATCCTCCTGCCTCAGCCTCCACGCCTGGCTACACAGTCTTTTTAGAAATAGCTTCCAAGGGGCTGGGGATTTAGCTCAGCGGCATAAGCGCCTGCCTTGCAAGCAGGTAGTCGTGAGTTCGATCCCTGGTACCGATAAAAACGAAAAAGACAAAAAAAAAAAAAAAAAGAAAAAAAAAAAAAAAAAGAAAGAAATAGCTTCCAGAATATTCAGATCCAGTTATTACAATTCCTGCCCAGGGGAGCTCTTTGGGTGATGTCGGGGAGCCGGGCAACTCTCATTTGAGTGTCTGCACTGCCATAGGCCCTCCCCCCGCCCCCGTCAATGTCCCAGGGGTCCCAAGACCCTTGCAGGGCCTCAGCCTCTGCAGCCGGAAATCGCCCTGGCGGCCCTTTGGACTCCAACAACTGTGCGCTGGCCTCAGACTGCCCTTGGCCTCTCTCACGCCCTCAACGCTGGCTAGCTCCCTAACACGTCCGGTTCGCACGCGTTATTCCAGCCCCTGGACTGCAATCCAGCGCGCTGCATTTAATTTCTTCACTTCTGTCTCAAAATTCTAGTTCACGCGCTTCCTTAGCGAAGGGATCGCCTTCTTGTCGATGCTATTGGTAGGTAGAGCCATCCTTCGGGGAAGAGGCAGGGCCAGGTTCCCACCCGAGGCTCTAAATTGGCTTTCTTGACAGTCACTCGCCCGTATCTGGTTCGCGATTGGTCTTAGTTGGAAAAGCACGAGCGCTCCGGCTTACGGTCTCTGGGTCTCTAGCCCTATACTAGTTGAGCTCTAGCGTCTCTTCTCCGACTTGAACCTGATTGGCTCCATCTCTAACCCTAGGGATTGTGATTGGATGAAACCGCGCGGGGCGGGAGGACTAGGAGAGACAGCCGTTGGGGAGCGCTCCATTCTTTGCCCCTCCTTTCCCTCGCCTGCTCCAGGACCCGAGGCTCCACCCCCCCGGGGGATTCTGATTAGCTGCTTCCGATGTGCCTCCCGATCGCGATTGGTTCTTCAGGTTCTTGACCCCGCTTCCGCCCCCCCCAAGCGACTACGGCGGCTCCGAGGAGGGGGAGGGGAAAGGAGGGACGGCCGGCCCCGTCAGTCAGGCAGCGGGAGCCGCCGGGAGCGGATGGCGGCGGTAGTAGCAGCGCCACTCGCCGCCGGAGGAGAGGAGACGGCGACCACGACCTCAGTACCAGGGTCTCCGGGTTTGCCTGGGAGCCGTAGCGCAGAGCGAGCCCTTGAGGAAGCCGTAGCCACCGGGACACTGAACTTGTCTAACCGGCGCTTGAAGCACTTCCCTAGGGGTGCGGCCCGCAGCTACGACCTGTCAGACATCACTCAGGCTGGTGAGTGCGTCGCATGTGGGGGGCACCACTGCGACCCTTATTTGCATAGCACCGCCCGCCTGTCTGGCCCGGCCCCTTCACCTGGCCGCGGGGTTGCTTGCCCCTCCCGGCTAGCATAAGATTGCGACCACCCCCTTCCTGCAGTTAGAATCCTGGGCTACAGCCGCCTTTCTGGTTTCACGGAAAGCCTAGAGTCTCTATGTGAACGTTGTGAGACCTCTCCCCTCTTTGTTTGTGTGTTGCGCACCTGCACCGTGATCCCGCCCCTCACCTGGTTTCCTTATTTGCATGACCTCAGTTATGCTCTATCTCAGTTATGATCGTTCCTTAAAGCAGCAGCCAAGTATTTCTAACCACTCCTTTCTCTCCTTGCTTGTCTCCAGCTCCTTTTTCCCGTTCCACCGAGATCCGAGCTGCCCCGGGAACCTCTTTCCCCTAGATCATCCCTAACAACGGGATGTTTCTTCTGGGATGTTTGCCATGGTCCCGCCCCTTTGAGTCCTGGCCTTTATTCTTCACCCAGGCAGCCTATGGGAAAACGAACAAATCTTTTACCTCTCCTGACTTTGCTCTGAGTTTTTGTGCCTGTGATTCCTGACTTCTTTAGCTGAGAGTCTTCCTCCGTCTGTGTAATTATTGTGGAGTTTACGACCTCATAAGGACCCTAGAATTCCCACTTTAGTTTTTGTTTTCTCAGAGAGAGAAACTTGAGGCAGATGCCTAAAGGAAGGAAATCATGTCTCCTAGCTGAGAGTGCTGACACCCCTGGAGACACTTTTTCCACTCCCCACCTGAAGGATCCCTCTAATCATGCTCCTTCCACCCTGGTACCTGTGGCGGGTGGGGAACTCTGCTATGACAGGTAAATCAGGCCTCAGCTCCTCAAGAGGCAGCTTATGACCTTGCGCTTCACCTGGGGGCTGGGGATCAGGAAGGGATAGGAGTGTATTCCCGAAGCCCGCAACTAGGCTGGGCTGTGAGGAGGGTTGGGGACATGGAGCTGGATAGAAATGTGCGTTTCTTCCCTGGCAGGTGCATACCTGCCTGCACATACTTAGCCAGCCCTAGGCATACACTCCCCATCCCATTCTAGGGAGAACCACTGTAAACCCTTGCCCTTTATGCAGTGAGTAAGTTCAAAGGGGTGAGCCCCACAAACCATTCTTATCCCTCTTAGACGCACCCTCATCCCCTAAGCTCCAGATTGACCTCAGCAGCTGTGTGACACTTGCTGTCTGTTCTCTTTCCCCTCCCCCTTACTTGTTTTTGACAAAGACCAAATGTTATTCTTTACTTCCTTAGGGCTCTGTCTCAGTGAGTGGACTCTTGGGGAAAGCTACCAAGAACTGCCAGCCCCTCCCAGCTCCTGTCCCCTCCCAGCCTCCTCCCCCAGCATTCCGGCTCAGGGTGCAGCCAGGGCTCCTGAAAGTTCCCTTGAGTGGTGAGGCGGGAAAATCCCAGCTTCCTGAGAAGCCCCCTCTGCCCTCCTCAGTCCTGTCAGGGCCCAGGTTGTAGGCGAGGTGAATTGTATCTTTTCCAGATCTCTTTCTCTGCACCCTTTCCCTAAGCAGAGTGCTCCCAGCCTGGAGTGGAAAGGGGAAGTGACAAAAACCCAGAGTTACCCATACCCCGCCCTACATGTTGCCTTGTCCTCAAAAACGCTCTGCTGCGAAATCGATCTGAACCCTCTCCTCCTGCTTTCCAAGCTCTTTGTGGGTATCTTTCTTCCCAGCACGTTCCCTATGCTTAGGCCCCGCACCCCTTGGACTGTGTTCCTTGGGTCCCCTAGTAGGGAGAGTCTGGGGGAGGGGCCGCAGTAGCAAAGGAGAAGTGTAGCTCATTCACAGACCACATCCTGTGCCCCTGGTTCTGCCTCCTCCAGCTTGGGCTCCCTTCCGCTCCTAGCATTTGCCCTGACACCCACTGCTTACCCATCAGAACTTCATCTCCACCCCTTCATTCACATGTGCATGCAAAGACACACTGGTAGATGCAAAGGAAGCAGACAGGTGTTCGGCATGGGTGGGAGGGCCAGATGCAGTCCTCCCACCCTCTCCGGAACTGCCTTCTCCCATGCCAGGTGTTCTGTATATGTATACCAGGGCCTGGGGTAGAGGGAGAGAGAGAGCAGTTCCTGAGCCATTAGGCTGTCTGTCATCCATCCTGGCAAAAACAGTACCTACCAGAGACAACCTACTTCATTTCCTTGGGGTATTTGTCCAGCTTCCTTTCCCTTTAGCCTTTGCTGTCCCAACACCCAGGAGAGCCCTGGAAGAAGTGCACCAATATCTGTTGCTTGGGACTTCCCCAGCAGGGCTGGGCCCCTCCCAGTGCAAACCGGCTGAACAAACAGAAACAGGTTTCTAGAGGTCTGTGCGGTCAGCCTCCTGGCACTGTTGTAAGGAGCCACTACATGAGATGAGAGGAGGGTAATGGCTTATTCCCTCCTCTTGCTACTCTACCCCTAGAGCCCAGGATAGTTACAAATGTGGAGGATGCTTAAGTCAGGAAGCAGAAGAAGGCTGATAGGCTGGAAGAGGGTGGGAAAGAGGCCAGAGGACTCAGGATGGAAAGGACTGAAGAATTCTGGCTCCCAGGGAATCTGGCTCCTAGGGAATCTGGACCTTCGTAGCTCCTTTGTCTTGAGGACTGCTAAATTGTTATCCAGCATCCAGGCCCTTAATCTCTAGTATAGTGACTTTGGTTTCTCCCTGTGTGGAAAATAGATTGTGGTTGCGGGGAGGGGCTCTCTTGTCTTGTTTTTTGAGACAGGGTCCTGTTATGTAGTTCAGGCTGACCTTAAACTCACTATCCAGGCTGGCCTCAAATTTGCAGCAATCCTCCTGCTTCTGCCTTCTGAGTACTGAGATTATAGGTGTGTGCTAACACATGTGTGGCCAAAAGGTTCTCTCATCCCCAGGAGTTTTCCATATGATTTTCTTCTTGAGCCTTCCACTCCATCACTTTACTCTTTTCTTTCCTTTGTATGTGTGTGTGGGGGGTGGGTGGTAGAAGTCCTAGAGATTGAACCCAGGACATTCACACTGAGCTACATCCAGAGTCCTTGTTTAATTTTTTATTTTGAGACAGGGCCTCACTAAGTCACTACATGAAGCAGATTGGGCCCAAATCTTGATCCTCCTGTCTCAGCCTCCTAAAGTATGGGATACAGGCCTGCTCCTCCCCCCGCCCCCTCCTGGTCCTTGTGCATACTAGGGATGTGGTCCATCACTGAGCATGTAGTTAGTATGCACTGAATCGCTGTTTTCTTGTGAACGCATCTCTGTGACATTTTCCCTTCGCTTCTCCTGGCATCTTAAAATACAAAGAACCATAAGTTATATAGAATTCACCCACTCTTCCAGGAGAGCTTATGGTGTATTCCTCCCCTATTTCCGAGTATCTGGGCTTCTCTGGCTGCTAAGGCCATTGCCTTCCTGTTCATGCTTAGAAAACTGTATGCTTCACTTTGCAGGAGGTTTTGTTGTCTCTTTAGGAAGAAAGCCCAGATTGTGGGCTAGATTTTTTTTTTTTTTTTTTTTTGGTGGTACTGGCCTTAACCTAAGTCCTTTACATTAAGTTCTACGCCATTTTTTATTTTGAGACAAAGTGTCAATCATTGAGTTTCCCAGGCTCAGCTTGAGTTTGTGATCCTCTTGCTTCAGTCTCCCAGAATGCTGAGATTACAGGTGTGTACTACCATGCCCAGCTTGAACTTGATTCTTTAGATTTGCCAGGAGTAGGTAGCTGGGCAGCTGGCTCAGGGGACTTTAAGGTCCCCCTGTGCAGATTTGGGCCTTTCCACTGCTCTCCCCTGATACTTGCTTCTCCTAGACCTGTCGCGGAACCGGTTTCCCGAGGTGCCTGAGGCAGCGTGCCAGCTGGTGTCCCTAGAGGGCCTGAGCCTGTACCACAACTGCCTGAGATGCCTGAACCCTGCCTTGGGGAATCTCACCGCCCTAACTTACCTCAACCTCAGGTAGGAGGGGAGCTTTGTCCTTATGGCCTCAGGTATCAGTGCTTAACATTCCGAGTGACCCCCTCGTCCTGAGAGGAGGAAGGGCTGATAAGCTGTGCTCGGGGAGTGAGCCTGCTGCCTTTCTCCTGTCCACAGCCGAAACCAGCTGTCATCGTTGCCACCCTACATTTGCCAGCTGCCCCTGCGTGTGCTTATTGTCAGCAACAACAAGCTGGGAGCCTTGCCTCCTGACATCAGCAGTTTGGGAAGCTTGCGACAGCTTGTGAGGATGGGGAGCAGGGCCCAAGGAGGGACTGTTGAGCTGGGGACCTGGGACCTCTTGGTGGGGAAAGCCAGAAAAAGGCAGAAAATATCCTTAGGGAAAGACTTGGACTGCCAGCATGGTTGCTGTTGATCCAGGTCTTACACTTCCTTTCCTGCTGCTTTCTTGGCTGCAGGATGTGAGCAGCAATGAGCTGCAGTCCCTCCCTATGGAGCTGTGTAGCCTCCGTTCCCTGCGGGATCTCAATGTTCGGAGGAACCAGCTCAGCACCCTGCCTGATGGTAAGGAAGACAACTGGAGGGTGGAGCATGGGTGTTTGAGTCTTTATCTACTCAGGCTGCTAGAACAAAGACACCATAGAAGGGGTGGCTTATCACCAACAGTTCTAGAAGCTGGGAGGCCAAGCTCAGGGTGTCAGTGTGATCAGGTTCTTTCTGGTGAGGGTCGTTTTCCAGACTGCAGATGGCCAACTTCACAGTGTATCTTTGTGTGGTGGAGAGCAGAGAGCTCTCTGAGGCTTCTTTTAAAAGGATACTAATCTCACGAGGACTCCACTATTATGATCTAAATTACCATCCAAAAGTCCTGCTTGCTAATACCACTTTGACAGCTCTGATTCCAACTTTGGGGGAGAGGGAAGGACATAGGCATTCAGTCTGAAACCATTCATCTACCTTGGAGAAGTTATAGGCAAGGAATCTTTAAAGATGAGTCATGCCAGATTTATGTAGGGTTTTGCAGTATTTAACACAAACTGTGGGTAGATGTTGTGGCCCACACCTGTAATCCCAGCATTCTGGGAGGCTGAGGCAAAAGGATTGCAAATTCAAGCTCAGCCTGGGCAACCTAGGCATTCAGCAAGACCCTGCCTCAAAAAAGGACTGGGGCTGTAAGTCAGTGTGAAGGCTCTGGGTTCAATTCCCAGTACTACCAAAGGGTGGGGGAAGGGAGAGCAAATTGTAAATGGTTTTACTTGCTTATAAGCATAGCAGTCCTCTGAGGCTGGCAAATCACAGATCGCTAGCTTATTTTATAAACATGAGAATGAGCGTAGAAAGGGAGGAAGTTAGAGGGTTTGCTCCACATAGAATCTCAGTGTTGGAGGGGGCCTTCGAGGTCACCTTTTGTCAAGGCTCACAAACACCTGAGTCAGGTGATGCCCTGCATCTTCTTGCCAACTCTCTGAACCGAGAAAGCCCCATTTTAACAGCTGATTGTGGTGCACCAACATTTGATAGCTCTGCCAGCTGACATCTCACTGTATTCAACCTGTGCTGGTTTTGTGTGTGTGCCACTCTGGTTTTAGGTGGGACCCAGGTAGGTGCAGGGGATGTGACTAAGATCTGGGGCCAACTCTCAAGGGTGCAATGGGGAGACACAAACATTCATAGGGATACTGTCAGACCAAGGAGTGAGAAAGGAGGCAGGGCTCTGCTTGAGGAGTCCTGGAGAAGACTTCTCGCTGGAAACTCAGGTCAGCATGGGCTGATCTTGTCCTTTACCCAGGCTGAGAAACCATCCACCATGTGCAAAGCATGTGGGTGGGAGGGAGCGTGGACTAGAGGGACCCAGTTAGAAGGGCGAGCCATGTTGAGGCAGGAAGGGCCCCATGCCAGAATGGAGGGTCTGAACTTGGTTTGGAGAGCAGGAGTCAGGAGGTCACCCATTTTCTCTGCCTCCTCACCTTTCTGCACCAACCCTCTTCTTTCCAAGTTAATAGGTGTCTTTAGTCTATTTACTATTGCTATAACAAAGTACTTGAGGCTGAGTAATTTATAAAGAATAGAAGTATTTTGGCTTGTGGGTCTGAAGGCCTAGAAGTCCAAGAGCCAAAGCACCAGCATCTGCCAGGCAGCTGGTAAGGGCCTTCTTATTTCAGAAGGCATCACATGACGAGGCAGAGTGCGTGTACCAGGCAGGGCTTGCTTTATAACAAAGCCGCTCCTTTTACAACAATTTATCCATGATAGATTAGTTGTTCCCGAGGACAGAGCCCCCGTGACCCAGTTAGCTCCCACAAGCCCTACTTCCAAATTTCATTAGCATATGGATTTGGGGATTAAGTTTCCAACACAGGATGTTCAGGGTCACATTCATACCAAAGTAGTAGGGGTACAAATATGCATTGATCAGGGTCATCCATGGACTACAGAAACAGATCTCAGCAAAATGACATGGGGACACAGGAGGAGCAATGAATTCTGAGCCTGAGATATCTGGAAGGCTGCATGGAAGAGGTGATGGTTGAGCTGAACCTGGAAAGATGGAGTTCAGTGTTACTCCCAGATGAATGAACAGGATATGGGAAGGCTCAAAGCTGAGGGATTCAAGTGGATGGTAAGGTTGGAGATGCAAGTGGAAGTCAGCTGGTTAACTATTCGGGACTAGGAGGTGGTTGTTTTATTCCACATCTAAGTCCAGCATGAACCCAGGCTGCCATCTGGAGAATCAGCAAAAGTCACCCTTGTGGGTAGCCAGAGCCTCGCTTGAGGTGTAGGGCCTGCTAGCACAGGGCACTCATGGGCAGGGCACTGGCCACCCAGCCTCAGCACCCTTGGCTGCCCAGCATGGGAAGGTTTTGTGCAGTAGGTGTCACGTTACAGTGTGTGTCTTATGCTGGTCACTTGATAATGATCCGTTGTGTGAAAGGACAGGCAAGGAGAGTCACAGAATTAGGCAGGAGTGAGGTCCAGCTGGGATTATGGGGTGGATGTGAATGGATAGAGGAGCTGGGAGATTGTCCTCAGCCAGCAGGACAGAGACTACGATGGAGCCCGGGGTGATGGGCCAGCCAGAACTGAGGGCAGGGAAGGGAGCACGAGGCTCCAGGATCAGGCCTGCTCCTGACTTGTCCCTCACCCACTACCCAGAGCTGGGGGACCTTCCTTTGGTCCGCCTGGATTTCTCCTGTAACCGTGTCTCCCGCATTCCGGTCTCCTTCTGCCGCCTCAGGCACCTGCAGGTCATTTTGCTGGACAGCAACCCCCTGCAAAGCCCGCCCGCCCAGGTGAGGTGCAGGCTAGGTGCGCCTGGGGACAGGGGTCCCATTAGGCAGGGATGTGGAGGGGACCCTTAGGGCAGCCCAGCAGGCTCTGGGAAGGCATTTTCCTCTTGTCACTTCCCGCTACGTGTGCCTCACGCAGATCTGCCTGAAGGGGAAACTTCACATTTTCAAGTACCTATCAACAGAGGCTGGGCGGCGTGGAGCTGCTCTGGGGGACCTGGCCCCTTCCCGCCCCCCGAGTTTTAGTCCTTGGTAAGTCTTAGTGGGAAGGAAGGAAGCTCCTTACTTAGAGATGTTTTGTCTCTTTCTGGCCCCGGGGATGCCCCTGGATCTCTGATGGGGGACTGAGGAGGGCTGCTGCTGGTGTGAGTCTGACCAGTCTTCCTGGCTGGCCGCAGCCCGGCTGAGGATCTGTTTCCAGGACGTCGGTACGATGGTGGGCTGGACTCAGGCTTCCACAGTGTTGACAGTGGCAGCAAAAGGTGGTCAGGAAATGAGGTAAGAGCCTCCTTTCTTTGAGTGATCGGTGGTGTCAGTGCTGGGAGAGGACCTCAGCCCTGGAGACCCTGGCCTGGTACCTCTGAATGGTGGTTGGAGCTCTTTCCTTTCCTGTCCCCACTGTCCTGGAAGGACCACCTCAGCAACGGACCCCAATCTCAGTCTCTCACAGGGCCCTTTGGGCCTGGGGCCCCGTGACCGCCCAGCACTTCAGAAAGCCCCCTCCCACTGCACCCCTCTGCCTTTACAGTCAACAGATGAATTTTCAGAGCTGTCGTTTCGGATCTCAGAGCTGGCCCGGGAACCTCGGGGGCCCAGGGAGCAGAAGGAGGATGGCTCTGGTAAATGGGAGTGGATTAGGGAGGCCAGAGTGAGCAAGGGCTGCGCCCGTGCTGCATGCCAACTGACGTGCCTTGGCCCCTCCAGGGGATGGGGACCCTGAACAGATCGACTTCATCGACAGCCATGTTCCTGGCGAGGATGAAGAGCGAGGTGCAGCTGAGGTGAGGACCCAACCATGACCCTCCTCCAGGAAGAGGGGATCTGGGGGTTGTCGTGTCTGGGGACCCAGCCTCCCTTCACCCTCTGCTGTCTTTCCTCAGGAGCAGCGGCCTCCTGAATTAAGTCCTGCAGCAGGGGACGGGGAGCGGGGACTCAGCAGCAGGTACCCAGCCTCGGAGCCCACAGCCTGCCTTTCACTGACAGCCCCAGGGCCCCCTGCTGGCCCTGACCAGTGTGTCTTCCTGTGTGTCCCCAGGCGTGAGGAGCCTGCAGGGGAGGAGCGGCGGCGCCCTGACAGCTTGCAGCTGTGGCAGGAGCGAGAGCGGAGGCAGCAGCAGCAACAGCAGCAGCAGCAGCAGGCTTTGTGGGCTCCCCGGAAAGACAGGTGCAGGGCCAGAGCTGGCTGGGCTGAGCTGGCCAGTGGACCCCCAGGCTGCAGCCCGTCTGGCAGCTGACTGCAGCTCTCTGTACTTGCAGTTTCCTGAAGCTGGGCATCAAGGCCTCAGGGGGCGGAGCCACCCCATCCACTCAGACCACCTACAAGTAGGTTCCCTCCTGGATGCCTGTCCCCAGTGTCTTCTGCCACCTTCTAATTCTCCTCCGTCTCTCCTCAGTGGGGCTCCCAAGCCCAGTGTTGCCCCGCTGGGAGCTTCAGGGATGCAGGGATCCCCTGTGCCTGCTCCTCCCTCCCAGGAGCCCCTTCCTGTAGTTGGACCAGGTGGGCAGGGACTTTGGGAGGAGGATATGGGTGCTGGGACCTGGTGGCCTGAGGCAAGAGTGGGACACTGGAGTCTCTCACCTGTCTCTCTACCTCTGGCCACCAGCTATAGCACCTGCTCCCCGGCCACATGGCTCCATTCAGAGACCGAACAGCTTCCTCTTCCGCTCCTCCTCTCAGAGTGGCTCAGGTGGGTCTCCTCCCCCACACTGCTCTTGCTTTGGCCAGTACTAACTAGGGGACTGGTGTCACCTCTGGACTGTGGGCTCTTCAAGTCTGTTGTTCCTTTGTGTTGAAATTTCCACAAGCAGAAAGGCTGGAGGGGTGGGTGCCAGCCCCTGGAGACGAGCCTGTGGTGCCTTCTTTCCAGGCCCTTCCTCACCAGACTCTGTCTTGAGACCTCGGCCTCCCCCCCAGACCTCAGATGAGAAGGAATTGATGTTTCAGCTGCGCCAGGTAAGCAGAGGCAGCACTATGGGGGGCAGGGCTGGAGTCAGCATGACACCTCCTCTCCGCAGCACCCATTTTCTATCCTCATACCACCCCTGAGGGGGACGGTAGGTGTGAGTCCCAGCTGGCGTCCCTTCCGCAGGCCCTTGAGTCGAAGCTGCAGCGACCCCTGCCTGAGGACCTGGCTGAGGCCCTGGCCAATGGGGTCATCCTCTGTCAGCTGGCCAACCAGCTCCGGCCACGCTGTGTGCCCTTCATCCACGTGCCCTCACCTGCTGTGGTCAGTGGGCTGCAGGGAAGGTGGGGGCGGGAGCACCAATGGCTTCTCCATTATCCTCTGTTCATTGATGTTTTTAACTTTTGTTAGCGTGATTGCAGTACATAGTGATGATTTGTCATGGGGAGTTGGGACATGTGCATAAGGTGTCTTTTATTTCTTTTTACATCTACTTCCCCTCTTCTCTGTTCATTTCTTATACCCAGCCAAAGCTCAGTGCCCTGAAGTGTCAGAAGAATGTAGAGAGTTTCTTAGAAGCCTGTCGAAAAATGGGGGTACCTGAGGTATGAGGGTTGTTCTGTATGCTAAATGGAGGTGGTGGCCGGAGCTCCCTGAGCACTTTGCATGGGTGGCAGTGTTCCATTCACAGGGTGCTTACTTCCAAAAGAGGTGGATCTGCGCCCCCCTGTCCACGCCTCTCCCTGGCCCGCTGTCTCATTGGTCTGCATGTCTCCCTGCCCCACCATCTCCCTGCCTGCATGTTTCCCTGTCCTGCGTCTCCCTGGCCCTCTGTCTCCCTGGCCTGCATGTCTCCATGTTGCTGTGGCTGTGGCCTTGGCATGTGTGGGTGGAGGTGGGAAGGACTGTCTGGCTGCTGCTGCTAACATCTGTCCTCTGTCCTTGTCCACCACCCTGCCCTCCTTCTCAGGCTGACCTGTGCTCGCCCTCGGATCTCCTCCAGGGCACCACCCAGGGGCTTCGGACCACACTAGAGGCTGTGAAGCGGGTCGGGGGCAAGGCCCCTCCACCTGCCTGGCCCCCTTCTGGTCTGGGTGGCTTCGTCTTCTTCTACGTGGTCCTCATGCTGCTGCTCTATGTCATCTACACTCGGCTCCTGGGTTCCTAGGGCCGCAGTCCCCCTCCCCACTTCTATTTATAAGATTCCTGCTCACCCCCCCCACCAGTGGTGCCTTCAGCCCCTACCAAAGACACTAGAGTACCCTTCACAGACACTGACCTCAGAGGCCCCACTCTGGTGCCCCCAGACCCTGGGTCCCCCGCCTCTGGCCTCCCTCCTGTAGGCCCTGGCCCGCAGTGCTGATGTGGCCTGAGTGACCTTCAAGCTTCTGCTGCTCTTCACTGCCCCCATCCTCCTGGGGTGGGGAAGAGCCCCACTCTTTTCCTTCCTTCTCCACCCTCCCCCCACTGGTTGCTATGGGGGGGCTAAATTATCTTCTATTTTGTAGAGAGAACTCTATATATTTGTAGGGGATGTGGGAGCCCAGGCTGGGTCCCCGGCTCTGTGTATAAACTGTACAGACTGTGGCCGCCTCTGTGTGCGTTTGTGTCTGTTCGTGGTCGGCCCTGGACGCTGTGTGTCACCGTGCCTGCCCTGGCATTTCCCTCTGGAAATGACAAGCCTCTCGTCCGCCTGAGCCTTGGCCCCCAATGTGAGCGCCCTTCTGTTACCCGCTGGCAGCTCCCCTGCGTCTCATTTGTCCCAGGCCATGGGCCCAGTGTCTACCGCCGCCCCCCCTCCGGGCAGGGGGAACCTAACCTGGGCCCCTCCCCCCAGGAGTCCCTGTGCCAGGCCCACCACATCCTGGAGGAGGAGGGGACCCCGGGCAGGGGCCTCCCCCACATCGCTGCTGTGGTCCGAGCACTGCTGGAAAGGCCTTAGGGGTGGAAGTAGGGGTGCAGGGCCCCAGCCGCCCTCCCACCGACCCCCAGCCGGGAACAGAAGACAGCCTGGGCTGCGCCCGCCAACAAAGACTTGGTGAGGGGGGCCTGGGCCTGGCCACCCCTCCGCCCTGGTGTGGCCAAGGGTCTGGGCGGAAGACCCCGCGTGGCTGTTGTGTCAAGCGCAATAAAGAGAAGCCCGAGCCCTCTAGCTGGCCCTCAGGTGTGAGTGTGTCTGTGGGCAGGAGCGGGCAGCCAGGGGAGGTCGCAGGGAGGCGCATCGCCTCCACTTGGCGGAGCCCCCCAACGCCGCCCTCGGTGCGCGTGGCCGCTCGCGGGCCCTGTCACCAGGGGGCGCCCGTGGAGCTAGGCGGGAGCGAGCGCGCCACGTGGCGGGGAGACGCGCGGGGCACGGCGGCGTCGCGGCGAGGCGTCGGGGCGTCGGGGTGGTGAGCTGGTTGCAGCACCCTGCAGGGTCACGTTCAGAGGGCGCCGAGTGGGGCCGGGTGGGCGAGGAGTGGGGGAGTGGTGGGCTAAGGGTGCCGAGCGTGGCCCGGAGCCTCCCCCGCGGGTGGATGCAGCATGTTACCCTGGCCGCGGAGCACGGGCAAGGAGGCAGCGGAGGAGCAGGCCGGCGGTGACCAGGCGGAGGCTTGCGGCTCCAGCGAGGAAGCCCGGAGGGAGCTCGGAAAACCCCCACAGGACAGGTGAGGGCTTGGCCGGGGCCTCTCGGGGACTTCTGACTGGGAGCCTCAGAGGCCTTTGTCTGGCTCATGTAAGATTAAGAAAATTGCGCGGTCCGGATTCTGCCGGAGAAGGGAAATTTCATTGGGACAATGCATCCTGGCCCTGCCCTCGGCTCAGGGGATTCTTTGGAAGGGGACTGCAGGTTGGGAGGCCCTGAGTGGAGGTGTCCTTCTCTCCTCAGGCTGCAGCCCACAGCTCTCAGGCCTGCTGGGCCCCGGAGGCGACAGCTTCTGCCCCGATACCGGCCCAGCCCCGCTGAGCCGTCCCCAGGAACTCCAGGTAGGCCGAACCTTACTGCCTTTAGCCTGTAGACCTCCTCCCTGCCTCCCAGCCATCCTAATCTGTTCAAGCCCCACCCCTCCGCCCCCAGTCCCGATTTCTTCCCAGGTGCCTTCCTCAGGGATGCCACTGTTCTCGCCCTGGGACCCCAGCTATGGTGCTAAAGCAAGACCTCAGCAGGTGTGGGTGAGCTGTGGGGATCTCTGGCTCTGGCTCAGGGTGGCAAGGATGTCTCAGGAAGACACTGAGGCTCAGTGATCCCTCCTGCCCTCCACAGGCCCCTGGCTGCGGGTCAGGCGTGACCTTCGCAGGCCGGACACTGTGTCACCCCTCCTTCTGGCCCGTGTATGAGGCCTGGGGCAGGGGCCACAGGTACCAGGCCCCCATCCTGGGGCATCAGAATGGACCGCAGGCACCCAGGGATTTAGGTACCTCTGCTCAGGACATGTGATGCCCACACATCCCTGGGGCATGGGCAGGAGGCCCCAAGATGCCACTGTCACAGGTCCCTCTTCTCCCCACAGGGTTCCCAGTGATGTGCCCTGAAGATGTCTTTTTCTTGGACCCTCTGCTACCCCCTGGGCAGCGAGTTCCCCTGTACCTGTCTGAGGTTCCTCCGCAGGTAAAAGTGACTGCCTTCCACTATCCACAGGCTTGTGGGGGCAGGGCACCTGGGAGGCAACACTTCTCCTCTCTCCTCAGGCCATGAAGCTACAGCTCCCACCTCCCATCATGTCCCCAGCAGTCCGCCCCTCCCAGCCCAGCGGCTACTGCATGACCCAGCTCAGTGGGCCCGAGCTGATCGCCATCACGGGCCTGCTGCTGATGAGCCAGGGGGAGCCCCGACCTGGCGGCTCTGCTGCTCCTCCAAGTCCTGCTGGCCCTATGGAGCCCACCTCTGACCACCAGAGCTCCTCTGGAAGCGCTGATCCATCTCTGCCTACGACCCCAGATACCCACTGTCCATAGCACACCTGGGGTAGAGTGCCCCCCCTTTTGTTAATAATAAAACTTGGTTTGCAAAAAGACTCCTGGTGGCAGGTGACAGAGTGCGACAGGGAGGCAGAGCCAGAATCTCTTCCTTTCCCACTGGGTTGGCTGCCTTCCTCTGACATTCTTGGCATTCACTGGGTATCCCCTACTGTGGGGCAGGGACTCCACTGACCTAAGAAGGCTAGGAAAACAGGGCCCCTTCAACGTGTGGGCTGGAACTGACCCTTTGGGAAGCCAGGCTGGGAGAAGAGAGTGTGGGCCCATGATCGGCGCTGAGAGCAGCAGATTGGAGAGGGGCACACCACTTTCAAGGTACACCAATGGTGAGATTCCCTCGTGCTCCCACACCTCTGAAGGCTCAGGATTCAGCCGTGGGGCTCGGCGGGGCTGGCTGGGCAGTTCTTAGGCTCAGAGAAGACACATAAAGTTGCCACAGGGGTGTGTGGGGTCCCAGCCTGGCTTCCTCCAGATAGGAGTCTTCATCTGTGGCATTGAGAGTCAGCCAGAGATTGATTCCGTGGGAACACTGCAGGGACACAGGATCAGGGCTTCAGCTGAGAAAGCCTGGGTGAGCTTTTGAGGGGAACAGGAAGGAGGAGAAGAAGGAGCCTCTAGGATTTTTGCCTGAAAAAAATCCAACTTCAGTAATAAAGCAGATTTGGCAGATAAAAATTAGTAAGAGTTTAAAATATTTAAAACAACTTAATTGAAAAGCCTGATATAAAAGAACACTTTTAAGATTTTTCAGGGCATAATACCAAAATTTGTAATAACGAATGCAATGTATTTTAAAAATGCAGTTGTGCAGGGTCTATACAATCCTTTTTTTTTGGTACTGGGGAATCAAACTGACGACCTCATGCTTGCCAGGCCAGCGCTTATACATTTTTTTCACAGTCATATGGAACACGATATACATTTTACCACAAACTTAGCTTAATGCAAGTAAATAAGTCAACAATAAAAAAACCAGAAAAACAATGCATTTGGAAAAGCATACTCCTAAATAATCTCTGAGTTAAAACTATGAAATCTTTAGTGCATACATACCAAGATGTTCGAGAACTACTTCAGGGGCTGGAGATTTAGCTCAGTGGCATAAGCACCTGCCTTGGAAGCAGGCAGTCGTGAGTTCGATCCCCGGTACCGATAAAAACGAAAAAGACAAAAAAAAAAAAAAAAAAAAAAAAAAAAAAAAAAAAAAACCAACTTCAAATTGTACTTAGGCTAAGTTTATACTTTCAAATGGATTTATTGGAAGACAACAAGACAGGGCCAGGGATACAGCTCAGCGGCATTAGAACCTGCCTGGCAAATGGTAAGGTCCTGAGTTCAATTTCTGGTACAAAAAAAAAAAAAAAAGAGTTTCATCAGGCTGACTTGCTCAAATCTGGGCTGTTTCTTTCGGTGTCTTAACAAAATGGAAAAAATCCAACTTGGCTAGGATTAGTGGTGCATGCCTGTAATGTCAGCACTCTGAGGTGAGAGGATCCCAAATTCAAGCCCAGCCTGGGGAACTTAATGACTTAGACTGTGTCTCAGAATAAAAAGGGCTCAGTGCAAGGCCCCTGGGTTCAATCTCCAGTGCCACAAAAGTAAATCCAATTTGTAGGGGCACCTCTGGAGGGGTTTCTTGAGTCACAGCCAGAAGGGGCAGAGCAGCACTGTGGGCTAAGACATGTGAGCCAGAAAGACCTTTGGCCACTGTAGGAGAGATTAGAAGGGACAGGAAGGGTAATAGTAACCTTGCCCTGACTCCCCTGACTTCTTACCCTGCCCAGCGCCCAAGTCTCTTCAGTGGCAGGTGCCGCTAGAACTTGATGTGGGTGTCACTGCGTGGGAGTTGTATGCTGGGTGTTTGGCCTGCACCTTCAGAGGGGAGACCAGGTCCAGCTTGATGTAGCTGGCACTGCTGTCTGGTGCTGTGGGCTGGCTATGTCTATTGCCACCGAGTCTGTAGCAGAACACTGGATGCAGAGAAATCCCTGGCAGACTCGGTCCCCTGAGAGCCTGGGTCCATAGAGGGCATGTATTCAGGCCCCCCTCCCCTCCCATCCTGGTTATGGGGAGTGGCACTAGCTGAAGGATTGTCCATGGATCACTACTCTGGGACCCTGCTGCACTCCATATGCTCAAAGTCACCCATAGGCGCCCATGGGGATGCAGCCCCCTCACTCTGATCCAACCCTCCAGGATACAAAGCGGCTGCCTCCAGTCTTGCCAAGGTCTTGCTTGCTCCATGCTCTTCCCCAAGTCTCCTGGTTGGGCCATGGAGGCCTGGGTCTCAGAAGACTTGGGGACTGGGGATCTAGAGGCGCTCAACACAGGATTCCCAAGCAGGCCACAGGTACTGCTGTCCCCCAGTACTGTGGTGGCCAGGATGGTCTTGCGGCCACTGCGGCATCAGGTGCCTGCAGCCATAGCTGCTCTCTGGGCCCAACGGGCGCTGAGCGGCCGAGTTCCAGGAAAGAATCCACGTGCCACAGTGGCACGCACTGAGCAGGGACAGGTGCAGGACTGGCAGTGGCGACAGCTGGCTGTCCCCTGAGCCCCTGCTCCTAGGCTTCTGTAGGAGGCTCAACACCCCTGACCCCAGCACAGATGGTAGCCACTGCTGCCCAGACCTCAGGTCCGACCTAGGCCTTTGGGCTGAAGCGTCAGGGGCCATATGTCCTGAAACTGAGAAAGGATTCAGGGCTTGGGCTTCTCATGAGCACTGGGACTGGAGACAACAGGTTGGATCACCGGAGGCTCCAGAACCAGAGAGAGTACAGCCACCGTCCTGGGAACCGCACAAGCGCAAACTCCTAAAGTGTAAACTATCCGGGATCTGGGAGAGGGCCAGGTCCACGACCCGCCCTCCACATCCGTACTCTTCCTGCGGCTGAGGTGCGCACGTTCTGCGGGGAGGGGCCGCTCTACGAGGCCCGCAGCTCCGCCTTTCTGCCGTTGGGCGTAAAGATCGGGTGGCGCTGGTGTGCGTCCGCGTGCTTACAGATGTGCACGCTCCGGCTAGGCTCATGTTGTGTTAAAGGCAGCAGCCGCCAGGCGAGGAACTTTTTGCTCGTGGCCGTCGGGGCACTTTGGGTCGGCGCGCGTTACCAAGAAGCTGCAGAGGGCCGCCTTCTGGGCAGACTGTGCAAGTGCGAGGCCAGTTAATGACAACAGAATCCGCCAATGTGGCACTGGCAATTGGAGGGCAACCAACCAGGTCACCCTTACAGCAGACACTACGGCTACAGCCAGCTCACGCTTATAGGCATCGGTCGCCTGTGTACTACCACCCCGCCCAGGGATATTTGTGGCGTTCCTTTGGATCTCCCAGGAGCCAGGGCTGTTGGGCAGTGGGCTCATTTCTGAGCCTCAGCGCAGTTTCTCCACGGTGGGAGTGTGGGAGCTGCCTGCCTTGGGATAGGGAAACTGGCTCGGTCCCTGTGCACAGACCCTACTCACCAACATCCCAGTCAAGTTGGCCACTGAAGGTCCCATGGAGCAAGACTTGGCCACCTCCTTCACTACACCCCCCTCACACTACCACGGCCCCATGAGGCCACCTTGGACCCACCAAAGGTGTGGATCAGGGACTTCCTTGGTGAAGGTCTGCCCCTTGCCTTGAGAGGTTTGGATGGGGTGGGACTGACATGTTTGCACCTCAGTTCTGATCCCAGGACTGCTGGCACAGTTGCATGTGTGTGGTGCAGGTGGAGTCGACCAGTGCACACTCCCAGGCACGCCCCAGTTGACACGTAGGTAGTGGGACCTTAGAGGACTTCACCAGACCTTGAGATCTCATCCCCCAGCAAGCAAAATTCCTGCAGGGAGAAGCTGAGATCTGGAGAAGCAGCCAAGTTGTGGCCCCAGTTAAACAGGACGTTGGGTCGGGGCTTCCTCCCAAGGGTGACAGCTCTAATTGGAGACTGAAGCAGGGAGCCTGGTTCCTTTCCTCACACTAGCCCAAGTGCAGCATGAGCAGGGAAGGGCAGGACTTCCTGAGGAAGGGCCCAGTTCATGACCTGGAATCTTGGTGAAGCCAGCATGCTGTGTGAGCCAGAATCCTTGGACAGTTTTCTTTCTCCCTTCAGTTAGGGTAGTACTGGGGATTGAAACCAGAGTTTTGTTTTTTTGTGTGTCTTTTTGGGACAGACTTCTCAATTTACAGTTCAGGCCGGCCTTGAGCTCACTTTGAAGGCCAGTTTGGTCTCAAACTTGTAACCATCCTCTAGTCTAAGCCTCTAGAGTGCTGGGATTTCACGTGTGTGCTACCACACCTGGTTGAAACCAGGGCCTTTTGCACTGAGCTACCTTCCAGCATTTCAGTTTTGAGATAGGGTCTCAAAAGTTGGGGCATTGTCCATGCTTAACTTGTGACCCTCCCGACTCAGCTTCCCAGAGTGCTGGGATTATAGATGTTACATTTTCAAAGGCCACATTGAGCCAGATTGAGAGGACCAGCAAGCATCACAAGGCTGGGTGTCTGGCTTGGACCTCAGAGCTTGTTCCAGCCAGAAGCACCACCATCCTCAGGCTCAGGGGTGCAGGGGCAGCTGGCAGAGGTGGATGCTGGTCGAGGAGAGCAGGTTTGCCGTGGTTCCTGAAACAGTCACCACACAGCACTGAATTCACGGTTTTAGGTACTTCTTTCCTTTCCCAGCCTTGCTGCCACCTCAGGGGGCAGAACATGTGCGGAGCCCATCTGTGCTCCTAGCCGGAAGCTTTATTTCCCCGGCTTGATTGGCAGTAACTCAAGGAGGGTCTCTTCACCGCTTTTCCTCCCTGTCTCCCTCAACCAGGTCATTTGGCAACATGTGTTCTTGGGAAATCGTAGCTGCTGTCACAGACAGCTCTGCAACCCCATGGCATTGAGCCCTGGGGTGCTAGGTGAAGATGAAAGCAGGAAGCGGCAGCAGTCTGTGTGCCTGGGGTGTGGACAAGGGGCAGTGGGGGCGGGGGCGATGGTAGCGGTGGTAATCAGTGCCAGGTGACTGGGCCTGCTGGGTGCTGAGAAGAGCTTGGAGTCAAACTGGCTTACATCAGTTGCCATAGCAACAAGAGTGCCCTTGGCCTTACCCAGACAAAATTTATTATTGTCTGTAGCCCTGGTAACTGGAGTGGCTCCCCAGAGACAGGAAACACAAAACCTCAGCTCTGGTAGGTGCGCCCCTCCTACCCTGAGGTGCCACATTTGCAAACCACCCACCCTTGTCAGGTGTAGGGCACATTCCACATCCCCTAGGACTCTTGGGACCAGGGGACAATTCCACCAGGAGGCCATGCTCTGCAATGTGAGGCCTTGTTTCTCTGTGGAGACCTAAGCACAAACCCAGAGATTTAGTCCCATGTTCTCCAGAACGTGGTCACAGTGCTGGCCAGGGGCTCGTGTCAAGGGGAGGACATGGCCAGACGTGTGGTGAGTGGGGTGCATCACTCACTCTGGCTGCGTGCCGTGAGCCTGCAAGTGTGTGCCCTCAGTCAGGCTGCACTGGAAGGGACGTGGCCTCGGCAGCTGGACATTTCCAACCAGGCTGGAAAATTTTCCATCCTTTGCCACTGGCCTGAAGAGGAGGCTGGATGGTGGGCAGCTGCAGCCCTGGTCTCAGCCCCAGCCCAGAGAACTCTTGGTTTTTCTGCCTTGGGCTGAGGTTAACTGCCAGTGCAACTCCTCTAGCTGGTTATGCAGCCCCAGCCAGAGGCCACAGTGGAAGGAGGGACTGGAGGGGAAGCACACTGGAAGCCCTGGCAGCCAGCGGCTAGCAAGGGATTCCAGCAACACAGCATGGGTGTGACTGAAACACAGGCCTGCAGGCCTTTCAGCTCCTGGCCCTTTAAACCTCAGGCGGGGAGCAAGGAAAAGGAGAAGGGAGCCAGGGAACAGTAAAACCCAGACTGGCTTCCCTCCTTGCCAGGCCCTGGGCACAAAGAAAGGGAAGTAGAAATAGGGAGGACATGTGGGTGGGGTGGGCAGGCCTGTGATCCCAGCACTCTGGAGGCTGACACAGGAGACTGCCACAAGTTTAAGGCCACGCAGCCAGAGTGCCTACGTAAAGACTCTGTCTCAAAAAAACAAAAATAAAAACCACGGGCCAGGGATTTAGCTCAGCAGCATAAATGCCTGCCTGGCAGCTTAAGGTCATGAGTTCAATCCCGGTACCGGAAAAAGGGAAAAAAAAAAGCACACACATGTAAAAACAAAGCAGGGTGGGTGTGTGGCCCATTGCTATAATCCCAGCACTGGGGAGGCTAAGGCAAGAGCATCATTGCAAGTATGAAACCAGCATGGGCTACAAAGTGAGCCCAAGTCATACACACACATTGAGACCGTCTCAAAAAGACCAAAAAAAAAAAAAAAAAAAAAAAAAAAAAGACAACAACAAGGACAGAGTGATAGCCAAGGGTAGTAGAGAAAAATTCTGACAGGAGGGGCAGAGAACATGGAAAACCCTGGGAGCAAAAGACAGGGCTCACCTGAGATCTCACAGGGAGAAGGGAAAGGGGGAGAAGCTGGGCAAGTAAGCAGCCAGACAAGTGGTCTTTCCAGAAAACTGTAAAGCACATCAACGGGTGGGCCCAAGCCTGATTTCTCTGCTGTTCTCTGTGAAGCCCTGAGAAATCCCAATGAGCAGCTGAAGGACTCAGAGTTCCTGAGCCATGGTGGTGGGGAAGGAACCTTCCCAGCCCCGGGCAAACTGCACCTATTCCCCCAACTCCTGTCCTGTTACCACACAAATAACCCAGATGTCCAGCTGTTGATACAACAGCTGCTGGGGCAATGTCTGGGGGGCTAGTTTACCCTTGGGGTCCATGCCCATCTCCATGGCACCTGGCTCCTCTAACCCACCCTGGTGGGAACCCCCGACCCTGTATCTCCTGAACTTCAACTCCTGCAGGGGTCCCTGTTCCAATACACTCCTTCCCATCATCAAGGCGGACCCTGGCTCTGACGGGGGCTGGCTCTGGCTGGCAGTAAGCGAGTCCCCTTGTCATCAGCCCAGACAGGCCAGGCGGTTGGCACCTGGGCAACACTCAGCCCTGTTCACTGACCCTTGGCCCCAGAGCTGCCCAAAGCAATACAAGAGCCACTTTCTTTTTCTTTCAAATGCAATTCTTTTCCAACATCGCCAAACAAGCTTTGGTGCAGAGATTTGGGAGCAGGGGAGGCACATGGGAAAGAAAAAAAATCCCCAGCCAATTGCACAAAGCCTTTCCCTGGAAAAGCCCAGGTTCTGAGGTGGTCAGGACATGTGACTGCCTCCCCCATCTCCTGGGCTCTGGCTTTGAAGGTCCAGGCACAGATGGGGTTCATAGCATTCCCATTAAAGGGCAAGGGAGAAGGGCTGGGGATGGGTGTGTATATATGTATGTATGTATGTGCATATATATATATATATTTCTATAATAAGCTATATTAGAAAATTCTCTCTATGTATAAATATAAAACACTGGTATCCAAACATGACACTGACAGATAAGTAAAGTGCTTGACAGGAGTCAGGCATGTGTGTGTGCAGGTAAAACTATGCATCCCGAGTGCCAGGATGGGGGCGCTGGAGAAGCAGAAGAACGGAGATGGAGAAAAGCAGGTGCAGCCCAGGGGGGTCACAGAGGCCTTCTCAGCCCCAGGGCTCTCTGGTGCCGGGCCCAGTCCACACTCCTCCTCTTCATACCCTGCCCCTTTGTTCTAGAGGAGCACAGTGTTGGAAAGCTGGAAGGGGAGGAGGAGCCCTTCTCTGCTGGGGAAGGCTGGTCAGTAATGGCCACACCTTTCTCTGCCCCTGGATGGACTGGAAGTGAGAGAACCACTGTGTGTGCCCAGGGCAGGAGAAGAGGTCATCTGTGTCACTGGTCATTTGAAAAACACACTGACATTGGTCCTCTGGGCCAGCCCTACTTTTCCTCCTTCCTGGGGCCCCTGGTAGGGGTGGCTCCAGAAAGGAGAAAGCCCCTGGGCCACTGGCCCAAGCTGTGATTCATCTGGAAGCCCCCAGCAAAGCACTAGCACCTCCACCATCCTTGGGACCCTGCCTGCTGCCAGGCTCATTCTGGTCTCAGACCCGCAGAAATGCCCAAGGCAAGGAAGGGGTTACCAGAACCTTAAGGAGCAGGGGGGTTCCAGAAAATGGGGAAGAGGCCCCCGAGACACAGTGCTACAAGAATGGGTTGGTAGTTGGAGGTTTGGAGGCAAATGGGCTTGGTGAGGATCCAGTCTGGAAAGAAAACAAAATGAAGTTATTCGATTAGGATTAAGAACAGCTGGAAAATAGAAAAATGCTTTTCAGGATTCCTTTTACTGGCAGAACTACCCAGTGGAGGGAGAGGACAGCGTACGGGGACGGTGTGGGCCGCAGCAGAGCCAGGATAGCCCATGTTGCCCTCTCCTGGAAGGATTATGTTCCTAGCACCACGTGGGGCACTCACCATGAAGGGGTTGGTAGAGATCCCAGCTGGTTGGCTGAGTGGCCTTTGCACCAGCCTGGTGGGTCCCAAGTCCCCAAAGGAAGAGCCTGGAAAGCAAAAGCAGTGTGTCAGCTGATATGGCTGTGCTGCCACCGTGGTAAGGCTCCCTCTACACCTCCAGGACACAGGCATTTGCTACATCTTAAAGCGACAGCCAGAGGGACTCCTCGGGAATTGTGGCATAGAGTAGCAGCTGGGCGACACAGGCAGATTTGCTGCTCCCCTGCTCCCCCTACTGGTCAAAAATGGAACTAGCTGAGAGGTGGGCTGGGGCCCAGCGCCGACAGTGGCCTTCCACATCTGTAGGTTCCCCACGCTCACACTCAACCAACCGCAGGCTAAAAGCAGCTCTTCCCTGGGCCTGGACTGAATGAGTGTGGACTTTTACTCCTCGTCATCTGCCCTTCGACAATACAGTGTAACAGCGGTTTAACAGGCATTTATATGGCATTAAATACTGTTAAGTCGTTGAGATGATTTAAAGAAGACAAGAAGAGGTGCCTAGGTCCTGTGCAAATAGCATGCCATTTTATATAAGGGATGTGAGTTTCCCGTGGCACTGAAGGCCGATGGTCTGTGCACATGGAGCGGAGCAGGGCTCACAGAAACACTTACCATTTTGCTGCGGAGTCAGCGAGGTCTGCGGGGGGAATAGTGGTGAGGGGAAGGTGCTGGCAAAGGCGCCAGAGGGTGGCACTGGCTGGGCGAAGCCAGGCCCGGCACTGCTCATCCCAAAGCCAGGCCCTGTGGAGTGACAGGAGGCTTAGGTGAACTTCCAAGAGGGATGAGAAGTTTTTCCTATTTCCTCAGAAGAGGCCCCAGGGGGAGGAGCCCAAGTGACTCTTCAGCTTCTCTTGAACTTACCAAGCCTGCCATCTTGCCCACGGCACCGAGGGCAGCGGTCATGATGAACACGGGTACCACACAGAACCCGGGGAGCTCTCTGCAGTCGTGAGGGTCTTTACCACCCTTGCTTTTGCCCTCCTGTCTCTAACATGGGCACAGCGTATCTCTCATGGGGGTAAGGAAACCGAGCTCCAGGAGCCCATCCACTCCTCTCTCCTTGGCCTTAGGATTGCAGACAGCTAGAGGGTGATGGACAGGAGTTTGAAGGCACAGAAGCAGAGGCTGCAGAGGGTGACACGGGCAGGGTTGTGATTTCACAGTGGCCCCCCGGAAGCTTAGGAATACAGGCCAGGGCCGTAGACAGGGGACTCCCTACCACTGTCCGTCTCATGAAAACAGCATTCAGAACTGGGCTCTTCTTTGGTTTCTGCAGTGCAGGGGGGATGGAGCTCAGGCCTTGTGTAGGCTAGGCAAGTGCTCTACCATGCACTACATCCTAGCTGTTATGGTTTAGATCTAAAACGATGTCCAAACTCTCCAGTTCTGAGGAGGTTTGGAAGGTGACTGGGTCATGGGACACGGTCTCACCAGCACACACAGCCTTGCTGAGTCAGAGCTGAGTGTGCTGGGAGGAGGTGAGGCCTGGCTGGAAGAGGCTGGGGACTGTGGGAGGTCAACCTTTCTCCCTGGCTCCCTGTTCTCTCTGCTTCCTGGTTGCCCTAGGTTGAGCAGCTTTCTGCTGCCAGATCCTTTCACAATGCCATTTCCGCCCTGGAGCCAGCCAGACATGGACTGAACCCTCTGAAACTGTGAGTCAAATAAACCTCTCCTTTAAGTTTGGGGTGCCACGTATTTGGTCCCAGCAAAGGGAAAGCTGATCAATATGCCAGCCCTTTTTATTTTGAGACAAAATCTCATTAAACGGCCCAAGTGGGGCTCAAACTTTTAATCCTTCTACCTCAGCCTCACCAGCCACTGAGATTACAACAGGTGTGCGCTTAGTTTTTTCCTATTCTAAGTTCTGCTTGTGTGGCTTAGGTGCTTTTCCTTTTAGATTCCCGTGGTGGCCTGGACAGAATAGGCCTGGCCTAGGCTCTTGCACAGTGGCTAGGGATGCAGTGGGGCTTCTGGCTGCTTCTCTGACAGTATGAAATGAGGTGTGTGTGTGTGTGTGTGTGTGTGTGTGTGTGTGTGTGTATACGTGCACGTATGTGGTAGGGGAGAGCTGTAGAGGAAGTGGTTCCCTGGAGAGTCTGAAAAGGGCAGAGGAAATGGACACAGTGGCTCAAGCCTGTAATTCCAGCACTTGAGAGGCTAAGGTGGGAGGATCATGCAACTTTGAAATCAGCCAGGCTATGCAGTGAGTTCCAGGCCAGCATGAACTACCTGAAAGACCCTGTCTAAAGTGAGGAGGGAAGGGGACAGTATAGGTGACTTACCTGGGGCCAGGCCATTGGGCTGGAATGGGTTTGTGGAAGGCAGCTGGGGCTGGGCTGCAGGCGTGGCAAAAGGATTGGTGTAGGCTGCTTGGGGTAAAACAGGAAGAGAAGAGTTACCTTTTATCCACTTGCTTAATCCTGGGATGACTGTGCATTTTCAAGCTGGCCTGCCTCTCCTGCTCCCCTCCCTGTGCAGTCTCCACTTTCTTCCTGCCATGGACCCATCGCTGGTCCCCCACCCCCAGGTAGGCCGGACTTACCTCCAAAGGTAAGGTTTGTGCTGCTGCCGCCAGGCATGGCAGACTGGAGTGCGGGGACCTGGCTGGCCATCCCAAAGATGCTGCAGGATGCAGAGAGAAATTGGGGTGCTCATCCTCCAGGGCTAGGGGACACATGGCCCCTGTGTTCTCAGGGCAGGAGGGGAACCAGGAGGGAGGCAAACACGAGGAGCTGAGGTGGAGCCAGCCCTGAGGGAATGCTTGCACTCACCTGCCAGGGACACCTCCAGTGGACAACCCAGGTCCCAAGAGGCTGCCCACATCTGTGAGATTGCTGGGCTGGCTGGCAGCTGCAAGTGGAGCGGCACCAAACGGAGTCACCTGGCTGCTCCCTAGGCCACCATGAGAGATGAAACAGGAAGGGCCGGGGTGAGACAGGAAGAAAGGGGCAGGAGGTAGGGGTGGGCTGCCGTAGAGGAGTGGGTTTTGGCAGGGAAGCAGCCCTGGCTGCTCTGAGGCAGCTCATGTCCCCCTCCGAGTTCCAGGCAAGGTGACAGCTCAGGCGTCCCCAAGGTCCCCAGTGCTCCAAGCTGCCACTTGGAGAGAAACACAGTTCTTCCTTGAGTCAGGCCATCCTCCCTCCTGTCTAGTTCGGCTTAACACTTCCCAGATGGAAATGTCTGTCCCTTCCTCCAGCCAGTGCGTTTTTATTGATGTGTCACATGAAGGGCGAAGCAGAGGAGCTGGGAAGGACAGAAAGTCCGAAGCACACCCGAGAAACACAGGGACTGTGCATAAGTCCCCAGACCTCAGCACACTCCTGACAACGCTTCCTCTTGGAAAGCCACCTTGACTGATGCCCTGAACTTGGGCACCTTGGTCCCAGGGTTCACATCCATGAAGCAAAGCACAGAGGGCCAAGCCCGTGTGGAAGTAAATGAAACAGCTGGAGGAGTGCATCTTGGAAATCCCAAGCAGTGTCATCACAGGGTGTGCACAGGACCCGAGTCAGTCACACAAACCCTCTCTATCTGTGTTGGACTCAGCTGCATTGTGGGACCCTGTCAACCACACAGGGCTGCTGTGAGGGTAGACTGAGACCACGGACGCAGGGAGTCTGGAAGACTTACTCCTACCGAAGCCAAGCAAACTGTGCTTAGCGTCCACAGCACTTGATGCTCCATCAGGGTTTATGCCAGGGAGATCTGAACAGGAGTCAGAAGAACTGGATTCTAGTAGCGGCTCTGCTGCTTGACCTGACTCTGGACACTCATCCCCTTCTGAGCATCCCTCTCCCCTTTCTGCTGCACGGGAGATGGAACCAGGCCCTTGAGCATGCTGGGCAAGTCTTCTACCACTGGCTGCACCCCTAGCCTGCTGAGCCGTCTATTGTCCTGCCCTCTTACGGGGGTGGCTGTAAAGACCTCCTGAGGTATTTGAAAGGATTTTGAAATCTGCAAAGTGGGACACAAATGGGAGGTACTATTTTAGCCATAAGGAACTACTTCCGGGGTCACAGGTGCGAGGCAAGGTCTCAAAGGAACTGTATGGTGGCTGCTGCGGATTGAAACCCAGTGACCAAGGCCCTCCCCTGCACCTGCACCCTCTAGCTTCGCCTTTCAACAAGAAGCCCTGGCTGTTAACCCTCCTGCTTACCTCATGTTCAACAGAAACCTGTCTTCTGAAGGGCCTGCCCTGACCACCAGGGTGAATTTGATCCTGGATTCCTTCTTGTAGCATCCTGTTCTTGTCCTTCATAGCACCTGACATATTTGTAGTGCTGTTTTGTTTTGTTTTCTTGAGACAAAAGTCTTACTAAGTAGTCCAGGCAGGCCTCGAACTCACTATGTAGCCCAGGCTGGCCTTGAACTCAGGGCAATCCTCCTGCTTTGGCCTCCCAACTGCTTACAGGTGTGTGCCACATATCCTGGTTTCTTGCTGATAAAATTTTGGGTTTTTCTCAAGGACCTAGATCTATGATTCGAATCTCCATGTTTTCTCCCTTTTAGAAGCTGTAACAGCCAAGTGTCGTGGTACAAGCCTGTAATCCCAGCACTCAGGAAGCTGAGGCAGGAGGATTGCATCCTTTTAAGGGCTCCTCCTCCACCGGGCTACACATGACGACAGCACCAGCAGCTCACGAGGCAGCAGGAAAGACAAAGTGCATGGTGCCTCCCTACCACCAGGTCCTCAAGGCATCTGCCCCTCCTTGACCACCTCCCTCCCCCCCTGTGCTTTGTCCATGAACACAGCCATTCTTGGCCTCCTCCCAGCCAGCCAGGTTTCCCACCACAGGAGGCAGGCAGGTGGGGCGGGGACTCCTGGGTCTCCAGTCCTTCAATCTTCAGGAAGGCTGGTGTTTCTCAGAATACCGGCTCCCTCTCCCCAGATGAACCAGGTTCTTCATGCTCTGAGTCTTTGAGTTCTGGGGGCTTCTCACAGTGAGAACCAGGTTGCCGCTCCTCCAGGCTGCAGGGGTGCTGGGCCGCAGGCTGTGATGTGCTGCCTGCGGACACTAGAGGGCAGAGCTGGCCCTAGCCCAGGTGGCCTAGGCTGCTCTAGTCAGCTTCTCCGCATAGGGCTACCTTGCAAGGCAGAGCCTCTGGTCTCCTCCAACTGGCTGAGCCACCCAGTGTGCGTGCCTTAGAGCAGTCAGGTAAACTGCAGTTTCAGAAAGCTCCCTGGCTCCGTACTCCTCCTCAGACATATAAAAATAAAACTAGGCTTGTCAGAGGAGATACCTGCCTCTCAGTCTCCTTCCATACTTCCTACCCCATGACCTTCGTACACGCCAGGGTTTGAACCCAGTGCCCTGTACATGTTAGGCAAGCAGTCGACCACTGAGGTACACCCCAGAGCCTCAACAGTCCTCTGTTCAATGGAACACTCATGATCGTAGTGGGGGAAGAAAGGGAATAAGGAACATGAGGCAGGAGGATCGCAAGTTCAAGCCCAGCCCGGGCCACTTAGTGAGACCTTGTCTCAAAAAACAAAAAACAAAAACAGGAGATTTAGCTCAGCATGAAGATCCCGAGTTCACCCCCACTTCCAGTACCACACAAACACACAGAGGGCAGAGAATAGGGTCTGCCCTCAGGAGCATTACTCTTGGCCAAGTCACTGGTCATGTGAGCCAGTTTTCTCAACTGCAGAGTGGGACTCTTCCCTCCTGCCTGCACACACAGTGCGGAAGCTCTTGGCGAAGGCGGGAGCCTCCTAATGCTGGCTGGGTCTGGATTTCGTTGCAGAATGTTTGCTTTCTGAGGTGAACAGACACTGGACAAAGCGTTCATTGCCTAAACAGACCATCTTCTCTCTGGGTCTGTCCCAGGAGCAAGGTCTTAGCGCAATCCTGTGCCAGGAAGGCATTTCACAAGCCCGGGCTGGGGCGCTGCTCAGGGGTGCAGCACGTGCTTAGTATGCATGAGGCTCTGGGTTCAACTCCCAGCACCATGAAAATAAAATAAGAACTCCCTTATCTTGGCTGTTTTATCTCATGCTCCCATTCCCAGGCAAGTGACTCTCTTGATAAAACTGGACATTCTAGTATCCATTTACATTCCTGCCAGTGGTGTACAAAGCGGTCCATTTCACCACGTACCAAGGGCCTTTATCAACCTTTAAAATTTTTTGTCAATATTATCCTCCTTTGAGTTTTTTTTTGGGGGGGGGGTTGTCTTTTTTGTTTTTATTGGTACCAGGGATTGAACTCATGACTGCACACTTGCAAGGAAAGCGCTTATGCCGCTGAGCTAAATCCCCAGCCCCTCCTCCTTTGAGTTTTTGATTAGCTAGTTTGAGTCTACTTTTTTTGAGACGTGGTCTCACTATGTAGCCCAGGTATACTCCTGGTGATCTTCCTGCCTCAGTCTCTTGAGTGATGGGATTACACACAGTGCTATAATTTCTGGCTCCGTATTTTTTCTGAATACTGTCTGCTTTTATCCCTTGTCCATTATCCCATTCTTTCTAGCTTATGTTTAAGAGTTTCACAAAAGCCTTTGGATATTAACTTTCTGTTTTCTATGCTCTATCTGCTTCTTGTTTCATGGGTTTGATATTGGTTCAGAATACATATTATCATATACAACATGATCTATGCAGTGTCTGTTGGAATTTGTAGAGATTTTGTTTTCTGGCACATAGTCAAATTGTAGTAAGGATAAGTTTGAAAATAATGTGGTGATCAAAAGGTCTGATAATGTTTAAATTTATTCATTTAGGTTTGGTTGGGGGTTTTTTTGTTACTGGCAATTGAATTCATTAACCTCTGCTTGCCAGGCAGGTGCTGTGCTGCTGAGCTATATCCTAGGCCCTTTATTTAGGTTTCCTGAGATGGGCATGCACCACCACACCCTTTGTAGTGCACGCTTGAACTCATTACGTAGGCCAGGCTGGCCTCAAACTCATGGCATTTCTCCTATCCTAGCCTCCCAAGGTGTATGCCACCAAGCTTAGATAAATAATGTTTAAATTTAGTACAATAAAAGACACACTGCTAAACTGGGTGTGGTGCACCTGTAATCCCAGCACTTAGGAGGCTGAGTCTGAGACCTGCCTTGGCTACATAGTGAGCTTTCAAGGTCAGCCTGAACTGTATTGTGAGATCTTGTCTCAAAAAATAAAGCAATCAAAAAAAAGATACATTTCCAAGAACAACGGGATGAGTGTGTCTGAATCTAGGGGGAGGATGTTGTGAGTATTTTAAGGGAAATTAATGACAATTTAACTATAATTTTAAATTTAAACATCCACTGTCTTAGATTATGCTTTCCTTATGTTGATCAAACAATTATGGCAGTTTCTATCAAAGAAAATAAATAAAAACATTTGGTGAGAAAAAGGAATAATATCTTGTGGGAGACCAGATGAAAACTGTGGCTGGTTGGCCCCCTCTGTGAAGCACAAAGGAAAAGTCAGCACGGCTGAGATCAGGGTGTTTACTGGGTGGCACTAACGGATCGTGGTCAGCAGAGGAATCCTGTGAAATTTAATTGCTTCACATGCTCCAGGGAATAAAAGCAGGGTGAGCCACATTCTCAGGCCCCTCTGCCCATTAGAGGCAAGACCTCCTGGCTGCCTGCACGCTAAACTAAATCTGTGTCTGTCTTTCACCCTCGTTCTCCCTCAGGTTAGGTGACAAACTAGCAGGACCAGGTCCCTACAAGTGGTACTTGGGTAGGGAAAGACCAGAGTGGGCTGGTTCCCCATGGGTGGCCTGGGACTGGTGTAGACTGGTCTCCTACAGTATCTCTTAGGTGTCAAAATTCATAATTTTCACATTTATATTCTCAGTATCTAGTGTACTGCCAGGCATGTAGCAAATATTTACACTGAATAAATTAAAACTTTAGGATAAACATATTTTACATTTTAAATTTCATTTCTAAATTTTACACGAGTTTAAATAACTACAAAAATCAAACAAAATCTACCAACTTACCACTTATTATTGTTTTTATCTTTTTGAGACAGGGTCTCATTATGCAGTTCAGGCTGGACTTGAGCTCACTGAGCCCAGGTTGGTCTCGAACTTCCTGCCTCAGCCTCCCAAGTGGGGGGATTACAGGCATGCACCACCACGCCTGGCTTATTTTTATTATTTAAAAATATGCTAAATAAAATATACTTTGAGTTCTTAAAAAATTACGGTGTGTCTGCATCTACCTCATTCACTCAATCTGGCACTGTACAACTCTGGGATATTCCTCAAAGCTAAATAACCATGAAAAGTAAATGCTGTGAATTGATTCAGGTACTGAGGCAGCCATGTCACTGCAACTGAAAACACTTAAGAAAGAGGACTTCCGGAACTGCTTCCGGAAGTGGCAAGAATGACAGGCTATGTGTGTTTGAAGTAAGAGGAGTATTCTGAGGTGGATTAATGGCAATGTGCCTTTTACTGCAATAAATTAACACTCACCATATGTTTTGATCATCATATATTTTGGGCTCGAGAGGTAGCTCAGTAGTAAGCACATGCTTAGTAGGTGTTATGCTCTGGATTCTGTATTCAGTACTATTTTTAAAAAAACTATATAAAGTTCTATTTATACTTGTTAGGTCAAACTTGTTAAACAACTACTCAAATCATCATTATTGCTTTGTTTTTCATCTTTTTGAGACAAGGTCTTGCTATGCAGTTCAGACTGGACTTGAACTCACTTTGTAGCCAAGGCTGGTCTCAAACTCCACCAACAATCCTCCTGCCTCAGCCTCCCGAGTGCTGGGATTACAGGCGTGCACCACCATGCCCAGCTTTTATTGCTTTCTTATCTACCTGTTATATCTAGCAATCTTGTGTGAGAGTGTATTATAGTCTAGTCTATTGATTTATTAAATGCCCACCATGCCAAGTAGGTTTTGGTTTGTGAATCTCAAGGTTCACTGTCAGTTACTTTAAAAATGTGACTGTGAGAACTTCCTTGTGAGTTTTAATTTTTATTAATATAAAGTGTGTCTTAGCGGTCCATTAAAAATAAATAAAATTAAAACAACTGCAGCTCAACAGTTCTCAGTGGTACAGGGGAAAGTCTCAGCTTTGCCACTATGTGGGCCTCACAACTAGGTGACCTGACTAATTCTCCCATCTATAAAATAGCTCAATGGTGACTACTCTTTGGGGTGGGGTGGGGGGCTGAGTATTGAACTCAGGGTCTCATACATGCTGAGGATATGCATGCTCTCCCACAAAGTCCTGGTTAGACTGTACATGGATCCTTTCAGAACTCTAAAGTGTAGATCAGAGGAGCTTGGGCAGGCTGTGGGGTGGGAAGAATAACTTACCAAAGCTGTAACTTCCAGTTAGCATCCGACTGGCTGGCGGTGAGGGTGGAGAAGGGAAGGGCAGGGGGAGGGAGAGAGAGTGCGTCACTGGGCTGTTCACAGACATGGGGTCTACAACACCGCAGCCGCCCTCCTAGCAAGGCCCAAAGGAAGAGGCAGCCTGAGGCTGTGAACACTGATGGCTGAAGGCTGAGGGAGGAAGCAGGTGCTTTAAAAAGGCCTTCAGAATCCCTTGCAGTTGGAGTTTACAGGCCTTTGCCCTTAGAGAGATGCAGAGGACTTCTGGAGACAACCTTGGCCTTGACTCAGCCCCTGAGCCTTTGGGGGCCATGCACCACACACACAGAGCACTCGCAAGAAAAATTCCTATCTGCACTCAGTTCGCCTAGGACTCAGGTCTTTCACACTTCCTAGTCACAAACAGTCTTGGGACTGCACAGCTCCTGCTGCCACGGCAGCCACTTCATTCTGTGAGGGACAGGGCCACAGCACCCGCTCTCCCAGCAGGCGTGCCTCACACATGCTCCTTCCCTGGGGCCGCTTCTCTGAGCCACCTCCTTTGCCAGGTCGGGGAGTGGGGGTGGATATGACTGAAGGGTGACACTAGGATGTGGACAGCTGGTGCCACAGGAAGAGAGAGAGGCAGCTGGTGGCAGTTTACCTGTGGGCCCTGGCTGGGCCTGGAAGGGGGCTTGGGCGGCGGGAGGGAGGCTCCCGAAGGCAGAAGAGCTGGGACAGCTGCTGCCGAAGGCATCGAAGTTGGCGAAGCCCCCATGGGAAGGTGTCTGGCCTATAGGTGGAAGGAATATAAAGCTTGTAGAGAGAAAAACCTCCTGCATAGCTACATAACATACCTAGCAATTCTACAGGCCAAAGAGCCAGTCCCATGTGGGGACAGGGGCACTAGAAGGCTCCAAGTTTACCCCCTGTGGCTTTTCATCCCCCTAGACCATGAGGCATTAATGTTTTTGTTAAGGCCTAATTTGGGCAGACTCATGTGGAGAACTTCCTCTCCCCACTTTTTTGGGAGAACTTCTTCCCCCCACTTTTTTTGGGGGGGAGGGAAGGGACCTGAAAACAAGAAAAAGGGAAATTAGATATTGGACAACTTTGTTCAACATTCTGCTGGCTACTGATGATGCCTGAGAAGAGGGAAGGGGAAATGGAACATATGATAATCCACTTCCTCCCATCTTAATCAAGAGAAAATAATGAAAAGGCTCTTCCGGTGTTCAAGGAGGAGCTAGGAGCCCCCTCATGCTTTATAGTGCAGTCCCCTGTGTAATCCCTGCCACATGACTCCACCCTCCCCGCCCAGGCAAGCTGCTTCCTAACAACCATCATTTCGTTAGTGTGAAGCGATCAAGAGCCTCAGATAACTGGGCACCTGAGCAGCTGGACGTGTCTGTGTTACAGGTGCGGGTGTTGTAGGGAGGTTTTCACTGCAAGTCCTACTTACCCGCAAAGGCTGGGAACGCAGCAAAGGATGGTGTCACCTGGGGTGCAGCAAAAGGGTCTCCCCCGATGTCAGCCAGCAGGTCAGTGCTGGCTTTCTTGGCAGCGGAATGCAGAGGCGGCTGGGAGCTCCGGGCCTGGGCTGTCCGAGCCTGAGACTGGCTGACAGACTTGGAGGACAAGAAGAGCAGGTGGCACTTAGAATCCCAGAGAAGACCCAGGTCCCTTGTGCTCCCTAGGCTGCCCGGACAGGCAAATGGAGACAGCACAGAGCGAGCAACCGAGCGGCTACCATGCTGAAGGTGTCTTTAGTACCTCTTAGAACACAAATCTAATTCATCTTCTATATGAGGTCTCACTGAAAAATACAGTGCATTTTTTTTTTTTTTTTTTGGTCTCTTGAGACAGGTCTCGCTATGTAGTTCAGGCTGGCCTTGCGCTCATTTGGTAGCCCAGGCTGGTCTCAAATTTGTAATGATCCTTCTGCCTCAGCACAGGAATGTGCCACCATGCTTGGCTAAAATTTTTAAAATTAGAGTAAGACACATTTCCATGAATCCCCCTCCAATACTTTCTTTCCCTTTGAACACTCTTAGTTTATAATTCCTGCCACTTTTTTTTTTTTTTTTTTTGTACTGGGACTTGAACTCAGGGACCATGTGCTTGCCAGGCAGGTGCCTATACCAGAGAGCCATATCCCCAGCCTTTTGGTTTTTTTGATTGCCACTTCCTGAAGCAGCTCTGGAAGTCCTCTTTCCTAGGTGTCTTTAGTTGTGCTGTCATGGCTGCCTTGATGTCCTGAATCAATTGAAAACATTTCCCTTTCATGGTCATTTTGGCTTCAGGGAAGAAACAGAGGCTGCACATTCCCAGATCTGATGAAGAGGGTGAACGAGGACACTATGTCTTTACAGTTCACCTTTCCATTGGATGGCATGCAGCAGCAGCATTCACCACATTTTTATCACACCTCATAAAGGCACTCGTGAGAGAGGACTTCTGGCACTGCCTCAGAAAGTGGCAAGATCAACGGGATAAGCATGTTCAAAGCAAGAGTTTTTGAGAGGGATTCACAGCCATGTATATGAGTATCTTTTACTATAATAATTCTAAAAACATTTTAAAACTTGCACTACACATTTTGGTCTTACCTCATCTAGGAGGGCCCAGAACTGCATATTTGCGATCACATTAGTCAATGTAACTCTGAAATACACAGGAATGTGTCCAACAATGTCCTGGGGCCTCTGTTTGCTCTGAGCGAATGGTCAGGATTGGAGGTGGCACATACCACACCCTGCTGGATTTTGCCTTCCAAGGGACACAAGGTCTACAGGTGACAGATGCCAGCTGTGGGGAATGGCAGAGCTGAGGACAAACAGCTTCTCCCTTGTGTGATTTTAGGAGAGTGGCACCTGTCTCATGGCCCACCTCACCCAGGTATGTTAATGTACAGGGTGTGTGAGTTACCTGGCTAGAGGTGGCGGCAGCATCTGTGACAGATGGCACAGGATCCCCCAGAAGTGTCCTCTGGGGCTTTCCGTCTGGCATGGAGCCCTGGGCAGGGGTGGAGGCACTGCCTGTGGTGTAAGTGGGCCCCTTGACTTGGTCCGGAGGGACGTACCTTTGAGAAAGGACAGACAAGCTATAAAAAGGGTGGCAACTTTGGAGTAGGCTCAGTTTAGGTGCTTGGGACAACATCGGTTATGGAGGTCAAAGTTCTTCCTCATATTTTCTTTACTGGTTCCCCTCCTGGGAAGGGAATAAGGGAACCAAGCAATCTTTCTTGGGACTGAGAGCGTAGCTCAGTGACACAAGGCTTACCCAGCATAAGTGAGGCCCTTAGTCCAATTCCCAGTCCTGCCCAGAGAAAGAAAGAAATGAAGAAAGAAAGAAAAAGAAAGAAAGAAAGTAAATAAATAAAGGGCAATCCAGCTTTCCCAAGTGCGTCCCTCGAGGCCTTGATGGTCATTTCTTTTCTGTAGGAATGTAGCACTAGGCTGCTTCTGTTTTCTTTTCCTCCTTTTTTGCCATCTTAAACTACGGGGGGTTCAAGTAACCATACATGTGCTCATCCTGAGTCCTATTTGCAGCTTGCTATCAAGGTCCCCCTTTTCCCTTCCTGGGTGTTTCTTCCTCAGTCGTCTTCAGTGTGCAGAGAAGGTACTGGCATCACATTCTAAGTGCTTACAGGCCATCCTGTCTTTTAGGTCCTGCTACTTCTGATAAGATTCCCTTCTACAGATGATCAGATTCCTTCGAATCCCTTTACCTTGAGAGGGTGAGGCAGAAGGATTGCAAGTTCATGGTCAGGCTGGGCAATTAGCAAGACCTTGGCTCAAAATAAAAAATAGGAAAAAAAAAGTATGTGTGTTGGGGAGCTGGAGATGTAGATCAGTGAGAAGGTCCTGGGTTCGATCCTCTGTACCATACAAAAAAAGAACCCATCCCATTGTAGTCTATGTGTTCCCAACTCTGGAAGCATCTTAATTTGGAGACATTATGATGAGATTCAAAAACATGTTTGCTTGTCTGTTTTTGAGACAGGGTCTTGGTAGATAAGATCAGGCTAGCCTCAAATTCACAGCAATCCACCTGCCTCAGCCTCCCAGTCAAAATCATGGTTTATTTTTTAGGTGCTGGGGATTGAATTCATGACCTCATGTTGGCCAGGCAGGTGCTTATGCTGCTGAGCTAAATCCCCAGCCCAAAAATCATGGTTTATCAATGTCAATCTCCTTGCTTTCTGTATTGTCTTCCCCATTCTAAAGTCACCCCCAGTCTGAACAGGCCACATGCCCCAAAGCCCAAACAACTGGAGAGAAAACTTGGAGACAGCACAGGAGAATGGAACTGTTGCTTTCTTCATCAGGAAAACAGAAAACCCGTAAACCATGAATAAAACGATGAGCTTCGTGGATAAAGCTGTAGACTCTCCCGATATGTGAGATCAATTGAACTCCCATTAGCCCATCTCTCCAGGCCACTTTAGTCTCCCCCAAAGCTGCAGAGTTAGCAGCTGAGAATGCATTGTCCCTCAGTGTTGATTGGGGTTTTTTTTTTTGGTCTTTTTGAGACAGGGTCTTGCTATGTAGTTCAGGCTGGCCTTGGGCTCACTTTCTCTAGCCCAGTCTGGTCTTGAACTTGCAACAATCCTCCCGAGTGCTGGGATTACAGGCGTGCACCGCCACACCTGGCTCACACGTTGATTGTTTTGAAAACAGAAATTAGTGAATGTGAGTGGAACAGATTCAGGCCAAGCCCAGCCCCGGTGTAATGCCCACACCACTTAAACACTAGACTGTCAAAGGAAACATGCCTTGGACACATGTATCCACAGCCATCTCTTTCTTCTTCCTTACCATCTTTTCTTTTCATATTTTTCCTGGAGAAACTCCTTCACCTTCTGGGGATCCCTGGAATCTGGTATTAAAGATGTCCGAGCATCAAAAAGACCCAGCCAGATCTTCCTGCAGACCTAAAAAAAAGGGACCAGGTGACAGAGGAGTTGGAGCACAAAGCATGAAATAAATATGACAGATAGCTTCAGTATATCTTCCCTCAATGACCACTTTCAGTGTTTCCACCAGTATTTATTGAGCTTGAACACAGTGCTAGGATCTGGATAGGAAGTATAATAAAAAAATATGGTAAATGTTTTAAAAATCTTTAAAAATCATTATTTTTAATTTTTAAAAAATGTATTAGAGGGCTGGGGATTTAGCTAAGTGGTATATGTGCCTGCCTGGCAAGCGCGAGGTTGTGAGTTCTCCCCCGTACCAAAAAAAAAAGTACAAAAAAATGTATTAGAGTAAAAGACACACTGCCATTAATATCCTTCAAAATACTCCCCCTCACTTTAAACACATCCCATTGTTCATGCCACTTTCCAAAGCAGTTCTGGAAGCCGTCTTTCATGAATGTCTGCAGTTGTGCTGTCGTGGCTGCCTTGATGTCCTAAACTGATTTCAACATTCTCCTTCCATGATCATTTTGACTTTGGCGAAGAGCCAGAAGTTACACAGTGCCTGATCAAGTAATAAGGTAGGGAGGACACTCTGTCAGGTTTCTATGACTTTGACTCTCCACTGGGTGGCACTGGGGGGCAGTAGCCCTGGATACTTTATCACACTGCATGAAAACACAAAAGAGGATTTGCAGAGCTGCTTCAGAAAGTGGCGAGGACAGGATAAGGAGGGACACTGTGAGGGGGATTCACAGCAATGTATCTTTTACTGGAATAAATTTTAAAAATTTAAACATTCACTGTATATTTTGATCACACCTGGTCCCTAAATATCAGCCCCCCCCCATCCTCACAGTTTCTATTCTAATGGGCAGGTCCGCGCCTTACACAGACACATTTATAATTACACACTGTTGTGCATACTGACAAAGGAAAACAGCCAGGAGAATGATGGACAATGAGGTTTGGATGTGGATGAGGTCAGGGACGATTTTCAGAGCCCTTGATGTTACCCTGTATGAAACCCATTCACCGTGAACTAAAAGTACTGCTCACACCAAGGCCAGCAACTTCTAGTCAGCAGATTTAGCTGGGGAAGGGCTTTAACTCCCTTTCAAGTGAATGACTCTGACTTAAACCTAGGCAGTCCAGGCTCAAGGCAGCGGAGCTCTCCCCAGTTCCATTCTGGGGTGCCCACCCAGGCGCCTCTGAATGTGACCAGCACAGGCCTCTAACCAAGTCCCCAACTATGGTGGGGGGGGGCTGCAGAGGTGTTGCTCCTTCTTTTGATTCCTCATAGAGGGGTGCAGATAAACCACATTCAATTCTGTATATAAATATTCAAATACATAGAAGACATGAAATCTCGTACTGGCTGGGTGTGGTGGTGCACACCTTATGATCCCAGCATTCCGGTAGGCTGAAGCAGGAGAATCATAAGTTCAGGTGCTGCCTGGAAAACTTTGTGAGACTTTGTCTTGAAATAAAAAGTAAAAAGAGCTGGGGATGTAATTTAGCGCAAAGGCACTAAGTTCAATACCTGGGACCCAAAATACAAAACAAATCTCATATTCTAAAAAGTTAAGAGAAACTCAGCTGGATGGTGGCATACACTTGTAATCCCAGCACTCAGGAGGCTGAGGCAGGAGAACACCTCAAATTTGAGGTCAGCCTAGGCTACATAGTGAGTCCAGGCTGCCTGAACTACACAGCAAGATCCTATCATTAAAACAAACAAACAAACAAACAAAAAACAGAGACAGACAGATAGACAGACAAACTCCACTCCAAAAGAGTACTGTGGGGTTTTTCTCTGATACCAAGGCACAAGCTCTGCTGGCGGGCTCACCTCATTTCCACGCGACTGCAGGAACACTACCTCAGGCTCCGTGAAAGTTGTCATGGAGATGGACTTGACTCGATGAGGGGGGTTCAGGCCTCTCCTTTAGGAGGGAGAAAACAAGAGAAGTTCCACTCGGTTAGCATGGCTGGCCTAATTTACAGGCAGCGGGAGAGGGAGAGAGGGTAAAACAGCACATAAGCCAGGCTGGACAGAGACCCCTGCCCAGGGCTGGGCGCTAGCTCAGCAAGTGCAAGGCCAGGTTCCAGCCTCCGCACCCAGAGCTGCTTCCTAACTCCAGGAAAGGAGGGAAACGGAAATGTTTTGGGGCTTTCCGAGAGAAACAGGGTAAGAGCCACAGCCACAGCACCCTCCCGAAACCACCTGAGACTTCAGTGGGCCCGGCGTTCAACTCAGGCTGAGGGGCTCCTTCTGGTACCTCAGACAGGCTGCCCATTTCCCGGTAGGTCACTGATTTTTAGACGTGTAGCTTTCAGACCTTTTAGACCCGAGGTCTCAAAGCCACGAGAACACAAATTTCTGAAGCAGAAGTGAAGGTAAAAATGAAGGCCCTCAAGGAGTCCTGATAACACTAACAGAGAGAGGAAATGGTGACCACCATTAAACCCATGGTCTTTACACTGAGTGACATCACTAAGTCCTTTTTTATTTTTGCTTTTTTTTTGGACAGGGTCTTCCTATGTAGTCTAGGCTGGCCTTGAATTCATGGTGATCCTCCAGCCTCAGCCTCCCGAGTGCTGGGATTAGAGGTGTGCTCCACCATAACCTGGCCTTTTCTTATTGAGTTAGGGTTTTTCACATCACTAAATTGCCCAGACTGGGCTGGACTTTATGATCCTCCCACCTCAGCCTCTCAGGATGCTGGGATTACAGGTGTGCACGACTACGCTCAGCTAGAAAGTCATCTTTAAGAAAAGAAATGTTCTAGCCTTTCTTCTTTTCATGGGTAGATCATTCATTAAAGCAGGAAGCTGTCTAATCTAACCATGAGCTATGAGAAGGCCTGGGCCGGGAACACATGTCACGAGGCTTTTGTGCTTGCTCTGTGTAGTTCCGCTACCCCTGGGAGTCCAGCTCTGCCCACAGGAACCCTGTGGGGACAACAGCAGGAAAAGTGGCTTCCCCACCTCTGCTCACTGGTCTCTCCTGAAAGGGGAACCCAGCACCAAGCCAGGCGGGCTGCATGGATTCCGCTGCTTTATGCCTTAAGGTTTAGTCTGGTCTAGAAATACTGCCCTCCTACTAAAACTGGCCACATCTAAAATAAACAAATTAGAGACCACAGACACGTGCGGGGAAGGCAGTCTCAGCCAATGAGGTCTTTATGCTTTTAAAACTGTGAGACCGACCGGGGATGCAGCTCAGTGGCAGAGGCACCTGCCTGGCAAGAACAAGGTCCTGTGTTTGATTCCTGGTCCAAAAAAAACCCAAACCCTGCATGAATTTAGACGTTAAAATTATAATCAGCCCTCCATATTCATGAGATCTGTAGCCATGGAATCAACCAACTGTGGTTTGAAAATATTTGGGGAAAAACTGCATCTGTACTGAACATGTATAGACATTTTTCCCTGTCATTATTCCCCAAGAACAACTATTTACATAGGGAGCATTTACATTTCAACTAGCCTGGAGAGCATTTGAAGTATACAGGAGAGAAGCTTGGTGCGGTGCCACATATCTGTAATACTAGCACTCTAGGAGGCTGAGGCAGGCAGACTGTCAAGTCCAGCTTGGAAAATTTAGCAAGACCTTTTCTAAAAAAAAATAAAAAGGGCTGAGCATGGTAACTCAATGTCAAGACCCTGGTTTCAATCTCTGGTACTGCCAAAAAACAAACCAAACCAAAACAGGAGGATATGTACAGTACATATAACACACCATTTTTATATAAAGCACTTGCCATCATGGATTTGGGAGAGGGGTCTTGGAATCAATCCCCCCAAAAATACCCAGGGATGAGCTGGGCATGGTGGCGCATGCCTGAAATCTCAGCGCTCGGGAGGCTGAGGCAGGAGGATTGCTATGAGTTCGAGGCCAGTCTGTGTGAACCATACAGTAAAACTCTGTCCCCCCTCACCAAAAAAGGACAAAAAAAAAAAGATACTCAGGGATGACTGAGTCAGGCATAAGGTCAGGAAAACAAAGGGGGAACAAAGAGATGACATTTTCCAAAGAGAAATCCTAAAAAACCATAAAGAAGGTCAGGAAAACACACGCTCACTCACACCCACAGGTGCATACACAGAACAAAGGTGCTCCTGCCAGGTCTTGGGAATGGCAGCCCACGTGTCAGTGTAAGTGACTGCAGAGGGCGGGGAGAAAGACAGTTGACACAGTGCTAAGTGAACAGTGACAGGTGCTCTTTGGGATGATGAATTACTCATTAACAGATCTGAACCAAGGATGGGGCAGGGCAGGCTCCAGTCAGGTCCCTTTCAACAAATTCTGCTGCTAGACTTTTAAGTGAAAGGTCTTGAGATGTGCTTTAAAAAGACCAGCAACATCAGAGAGCTCTGATGCCCTCTGGAAAGATAAAAGCAGGGAAACCAAGAGCAAGGCTTTGGTCTGACATCAAACAACAGCTCTTAACTACCAATGGCCCTAAACTCCCTTCCAGATACTCCGGTTTTCTCTACCAAGGCTTCTCCTGCCTAATGGCTCAGATTGGTTTGGCTTTTAATTTCAGCCTGCTTTTCTTTGTTTTTTGTTTTGAGAGAGGGTGTTGCTATAGAGTGCAGGCTGACCTTGAACTCCCAGTGATCCTCCTGCCTCAGCCTCCCATGTGCTGGAGTTACAGGCATGTGCCACCACGCCCAGTCAGCCTGCTTTTATACTCTTTCCATTGCTCTTTGTCACCATAACCCCAGGTCCTCCTCTTTCTCATGCCAAGCCTTCCTGAAGCCTGGTCAGAATCACCTCAACTTTCCCTATGACATGGAGCCTCTCCTTCACCTCCTACTACTAAATTTTTACTTTGGGGGATGCAGAAACCATAGGACCTGAGAAGCCCCCATTGGGCACTGCTGGCTCAGCAGAGGTCATTCGGTCTGACACTGACAGATCCGGAAGAATGCGGCTCCAGGATGCAGCAGTGGGGGAAGGAAACTAATTGAATCGGTCACAGGAATGGCAAAACCTGTCATGTTTACATTAGAAAAACAGGTCCCAAGCCTGTCACAAGAAGGTCATTGATATTTCCAAGAGGAACTGTTAGCAAAGTGTAAAAAGGGAGGTGCCCTTTCATCTGGGGTGCGGGGTGAGGGACCTCACCCAGACATCAATCAACAGGGGTGTCTAGAACAACAGTTTCTTATGACAGAGCTTGGACTGGAGGGTTTTTGGGGGGGTGGGATGTGTGTGTGTGTGGGGGTGTCAAGATGATAGGGGCAAAGGAAGGCAGAGAAAGCAAGGAGTGATTTGCATGCCCTGGGCCAAATGAATCTGATGGAACAGGATGTTTCCATAGCACAGTACAGAAAGCCTTGCTCTGACCTTGATGTCTGTAGGCTGGATTATGTAGAACCTGAGCCACGTCTGGGGGCAGGGAGAAGCCTGACAAGGCCACACGTTGCAGCCCGGGAAGAGGGCGACTTGCAGGCCCTGTGAGTCAGGCCATTTCTCTCTGAATCTCAGGGAGGCCACTGCTGCAGAGAGAAACAGTTTAGAAACCAGCCGCCTCTGTCAGCTGCTGAAAGCAAATGGTCTAGGTGTGTTGCACTTGGTGGGGACACACCGGGGTCACGCTGTGGGCCCAAGTGAGTCACTGGCCTGGAATTCAGCAGACCCAACCCTTGGACACGGCACACCTCCTGGCCCCAATACAGCTCCCAAAAGAAAGTTAAGAGGGAGCCACTGCCCTTCAGCTATCACAACAAACCTGTTCTGTCATTTCTTACTCAGGAGGTGCTTAGGGAAATACAGAGATGAATGTGCTTGCCCAGAATAGAGCGAGTTTTTCCATTCAAGACCTAGTGAGTTATTAGGACTGCAGCCTTAAACCAGTCATGTTCCTTCTCATTTGCTTTGGTTTCTTTTTCACCGGGCACCCACCAGCGTCTGAAGAACTGTGTGCTGTGAAATAGTGGGCCAGTGAAAGCCTGATTCTCCCTTCTCCTCCCCCTTGGTTCTGTTCATCACACAACTATGTCCACAAATACCACACCTTTTGTTTTTCTGTGGTCATCACCCTCAAGCTGGCCTATATTTTGCTTCTATTTCACTTCATAAAAACATCAAACCTGCTCAGCTGCTCAGATAAGAAGGTTCAGCCAGGTCAACAGTGGAAAAAAACCAGTTCCACCCAGCACCCAAGTGCTTTTATTTGTACCAAATCTGAACTCAGGAGTCCCTTGCCTCTAAACATTTGTGCTCCAATTCATAAACCCTAGATGGCTTCTTTGAAGCTGGGTTTCCACTCTTACGCCTTCCTCGGAGGGGAGAGCTGATTACTTTCACTCTTGGGCTCAAATCACTTTTAACAGTCCCAAATAGGAAGGCTCTCCTATTACCCTGCCCCTGGGGCCAATGTCACTAATTTTAGGAAACTTCTTATCTAAATTCTGCTTCAACCCATTTCCTTTGTTCTTCTTGGGCAGCAAAGATAAGCAACTTCCTATTGTGCAGAGCTAGGTACTGGCCGACAGACTTTTCTCTTTCAGGCTCAACCTCCATCCTTTTGCATTTTTCCCTTCGCCCCTTCTTCATCTCCTTTTCAAGCTATTCAGGGCCCCTTTTGATAAAGAGCTTAAATCAGCAATGCAGGGGAGACTGTGTGGTAAACCTCAGCCCAGCAGCCCAGAATATGAAGGGTGGGGGAAGCGGGGAGGGAGTGACGGCACAAACAGGGGCAAAGTACCTGTGCACCTCCCTGACCCGGACAGACGGAAAAGTACTGAATTATTGAACATGGGTCATCTTCCGGTCCATGGAGACCAAATGGCTTCAGCGAGGCCACCACTACTAACAAGCCAGATTGGGACATTAAGGCACACGTTGTGTAGGGACTTGTGACAAACAGAAGCAGTCAAAAGCATCTCTTGACCCCCAGCTTCGAGTTCTGCCCACCTTAAGTTGGACTCC